TGTGTGTGTGTCGTGTCCCCCCTCCCTGAAACCTACCTTTTTGGTACCCGCCCTCGAGTCCAAGCCCAGAAGAATTTTTTCGATATCCGCCCCAACTCCACCCACGTCCGTCCGCAGCGGATATGCCTCGTTCCCTTGCTCTCTTCTCCTGTTCCAACCCACGCCTACCTTTCGATCTTTCACCCTTCCCTCTCAAGTATCATAACTATCAACCTCAGGGTTTAATTTTATCCACTTGAATGTTGTGAAACTGAGTTCTTTGCAAGTCACATTTGTTGCACCTGGTTTTGGTCCTGGGTGATGCCAGTTTGGCCAGATGGCAACCATGGTGAGAGGAACTGGCCGATTGGCAAGGTCACACTTAAGTTGAAGGATAGTTGGAAGTTTGTTTTGGAACAAGCCTTGATCAGGACCGTCATGATCGTGGAATCTGCCCCCAGGGCAGCAGTCACAGCACCAGTGCCGCCACCAGTGCCATCCGGGCCTTCCAGAGCCAGCAGCCAACTGACCAAGCACTTTGGACACCGTAGAAAGCCGGAGTGGGATTAAGCACCAGGCAACACGCCACCAGCAGTTGGGCAGCAGGATCCCAGCAAGGGAATTTCCAATGACCAGGGAACAGTTTTGAACGGTTTCACCCCAAACAAGTTCCAATCCATTTCTCAAGCCCTGGTGGCTGCCTGGTGGCTTTCCATTCCTCAAGCCCTGGTGGCTTCATATCAAAAGCCCGGTGGCTTCCCATGGTGGCTGGCTCACCTGGTGGCTTCCCAGTTTTTCCATGTCCACCTAGTGCAGGAAATGATTCCTTGGCGGGAAGCCTTGCGGGTCCGCGTGGCGGAAGCTTGGCGGAAGCTCCGCGGGAAGGTCCTTGGACAATATTGCTCACGGAAGCCGGAAGCGGACGCCTGCATCGTGGTTCCGCCCCACAGAAGCTCAAGCGGAAGGGTTTTTTTTAAATGTCCAATGTCCATTAAGTTTCTTAAAATGTTTAAGGAAAAATACATTGCTCACTTGCACCCAAAGCCACGAGCTGCTTTCACACGAATCTCCGGTGCAATTTATTCTCAAAAGATTCGAGCGAGGCGGCAAACCCAGGTGGCAGTGCCTTAGTTTGGTGTCAGATCTTTGAATGTGCCCCTACATGAACAAGGGCATAAATATACATACATTTCTTGAGTTGGACCGAGACTTCACAGCAAAGGTTGGTGATGGTTGGTGTAACATGGTGTAAACTTAACGTGTAACACCTATCATTTAACTACAGTGTTTAACTCTTTGTTAGCATTTCTTAGCTAGATCTAACATATCTAACATGATCTAACCATATAGCCTAGCTAAGATTGTATAATGATGTGTTAATAGATCTCATCAATCTACCATATATTTCTATGTCCTCACAGCCAGACCTAATCGAAAAATCCCTCCAATCTCCAGCCCAATCTCCAGCGCGACTCAGGGTGAGCCTCAGCGGGAACCAGGGCTCGGTCTTCCTCAAGGAGCGTCCCAAGCCCTTCGTGAGTTGTCTGATGGATCTGCCCCTGGAGAAGAACTTCCAGCACCTTGGAGCGATGAAGGATGATGGCCAGGATGGCCTGGAAAAATCAGACATTTTCACCATCAGACACGGGTGAAATCAGTGATACAGTGATACATGATATGTGATGTTTGGTGGTGATGTGATCGGAATCGCTAGTCAGTTGGTAACCACAACTCAAGAACGATTGAATAAGTGTCGGCTTCAAGGTGATGAAGTAGTTTAATGATGTTAGATGGGGGACGATAAATCAACGTTGGGGGACACTACCTTTCAAATGACACATTTTTTTTTTTTGTACACACAATCATTGATGGGTTTCCTATTTGCGGGGGCGGTGAAGGCAAAGATGCATTCTATACATATATAATCACATATATATATATATCATATGTATATATATATATATATCATATGTATATATATATATATATATCATATGTATATATATATATCATATGTATATATATATATATCATATGTATATATATATATATATCATATATATCATATATATCATATATATATATACATATCATATATATATATATCATATATCATATATCATATATCATATATCATATATCATATATCATATATCATATATCATATGTATATACATATATATATATATATATATCATATATCAAATATATATATATATATACATATATATATATACATATATATATATATATATCATATATTGTGGTGGAAATGCCTCCACTTTTGAGGCAATTCCAGCTCCAAGAGAACGGTGGTTAGAACGGTGGTTGACATATCTGGTCATGTCACAGGATCACCAGGTCACAGGATCTACGGAGCCAATGGCTGGGTTTTGGCTCACACGAGTTCCCAGATGGGGTATAGTACGGAATAGGTCAAGATAGGTCAAGTCATTGTGTGCAGAAATAGATGCGATTCAAGTGATTCAAGCAGGAAAAACAATGCTGCTTTTACCAGCAACCTTTGGGTAAGTAATGGATCTAGACATGATCTAACACCCCAGCAGTTGGATGATTAAGTCCCTTTTAACTTGCCAACAAAAATCCAGCTTCCTGGGTCTTGATTTCTCATCAATCAGTGCTGAGGACTACCGGGGAGGCACCGACCAGATCTCTGAAGGCCTGGCGGGCCTTGGCTTCGGCATCTTTTCGGGACAATCGTAAGGTAAACCCCCCAACAAAGATGCCGAAACGGGCCAAAGTCATCACGACATTCTGGGTTGGATTTGTACCTTTTTGGATTTTTTCGGCATCTTTTTTGGGGGTTGCTGTACTACAACTATAGTTATTTTTCCATTCAGTTGGGAAGGTCATCATCCCAACTGACTTTCACTCCATCATTTTTCAGAGGGGTAGGTCAACCACCAACCAGAATATATCTACAGGTATTATATTCACTATTAAAACTATTATGATATTTTTTCCCATTATAAAACCAGATTGGTTCAGATCTGCTGAAGTGAAACTCTCTGGTTTCTCGCGTTTTTGCGACGCGAGACCGACGAAGTCCTGGAGATCCTGGAGGGTCCACGACAGGCGGGCTTTTGACAAAGGGGGTGGATGATCCATCCAAAACTCTAGGGATTTTGGGGTGAAAACCATGGGTATAACATGGTATAACTAGTGAAAACCCTGGGTATAACGGGTGTATAACTATATAGGATCTGATTGGATCTGATTTTTCGATTCACGAAAAACCAATGTCTGAAAACCGACGATGATCCAAGGTTCACCCGAACGACCCTGGTGAAAATTCTGAGTTGGTGGATTGTTTCCATTTTAGTCATTGGCAAGAGAAAACAAGTCCAGGATTGGAAGAATCATTGCCAACAAAAAGACATCAATGTTTTGCAAAGATGAATAAAGGCACTATAATCATGATCAGCCAAGTCATGTATAGGAACCAGGTTAAATATGTTTCTGACCCATCCAATTTGACATATTTTGACATGTTTCTTCCATGGAACCAACAAATTTGGGGAGAAAAATGATCGATGGACATTTATGAAGGGGCATTTTCCATTGGCTTAGTTGATTCCAGGAGGAATCAACTGGAAGGGGTCAAAACCTATCAAAACCTACATCAAAACCTACATCAAAACCTTTATTTGGTGGGATTACCATCCACAAATCCCAGCTATTTTCGGGTGAACCTGCACGGGATTCCATGGCTTTTGACCTGTTTTGACCTACATCTCCAGCAGGACGTTCGGGATGCTGTCAGCCGGGCACGCGTGAAGACCTTGAAGGAGACCGAGTTGCAGGTTTTCGTTGCAGGTTTTCGTTGCGGATGAAGCCAAAAAGATGGGGGGATTTCACCATTTGGTGATGGGGATTCCACGGATTCTATGGGGTATGGATTCGTCGGATTTCACCAACAAAGTGATGGAGAATAAACAAAATTGATGTCATCGAAAAAAGGCTGGGGATTTGACCATTATTTTTCATGGAAACAATGGGGGATTTGTACAGAGTTATGGGGGATTTGTAACAGCCAATATGGAGATAGAATGGGATTTCTTCGCAACACAGGCCCAAGAAGATCGGAACAGTTGTTCTCGTCTAGTTTGGGTTTGCCATGATGTCAACCCTGGATGAAGAAATCGGCTGCCTTTGATTTTGGGGTGCCACTCTTGGGAGGTACCCCAATATACATCGGTGGCGACTATTCAAGTGATTTGCAGATTACATCCCACTCGAACTCGATATTTATGGATCACAGTCCTCTTGGGACTGATATATGTGTGGTTGGTCATAACCCACTTAGTTCATCGATGAACTCGACGGCCCTCTTTTTAGCAACACATGGTGGCTTTGAAGTCGCATGAAGTTGTGCTAAATGGCAAATCTACTATATATGCATATATATATAGATCTATATAGTATTACAGGTTGATAAGAAACCCATTTCTGATCAGCCATTGCCGTTGATATCGTCCATGAATCCCGGCCGGCCATTGCCATTGGTGTTTCGGCAGGACTCCTTGACGGGCTGGGTGACCTTGAGCAGTGGTGGACAAGTCCAAGCACAAGCCGGACAACAGAGGCTGGAATCCCCGGGGGGACTGGGATTTCATGGGATTCATCATCGATGTTTTTTGATGTTTTTTGAATGGTTCAGAATGAAGAAAATGGATGAACATGGTGTATATACATATATATATATATATCTGGTTGGTGGTTTGGAAATTTTGGAACATGAATTTTATGACTTTCCATTCAGTTGGGAATAGTAAATCCCAACTGACTTTCATATTTTTCAGAGGGGTTGAAGCCACCAATTAGATTTATAATAATAGCATAATGATGATTATTCATCTGGGCAGATTATAACGACCTCACTGTGTTTTTCCTCACTGGAAATCATGGTTAATTTTTAGGGAATAATCCCCACATGGCCGCAAGATTCAGGTTAGTGAAATAAACTAATTTACCCAGATGAATGGTTAAGAATGGTTGATAGTTGATAATGGGATATATTATGTTTCATAATAATGCTGATTAATGATGATATTAATGATGAATAATGGAAAGGCTGGTATATGTGGCATATGAATGGCTGTGAAAATTGGTCCACTCACCAAATTTACCATGAAATAGTATGGAAAAATATAGGGAAATGACGATACACCAGTGGCTTTCAACGGATTATTTGATTAAACAATAACCCTCAAACATAGGGGATTTGGAGGTAGATTTTCAAAACAACCTCCATATATCCCTTAGATATCCATGTTACGATGATTTCTGGTTTTTTAATCGCTGGTTTCTGGATGTTTCTGGTTTCGGAAGATCCACTAGGCCCTAACTTCTCCCGTTACGGTAGGTTTTGGGAATGCATGACGGGCGTAGCCATCACCGATGGACCCAACATCAAGGTCTGCAAGGCGCGGCGAGCGGCTAGCGGAGTAGCGGGCCGGGTTGAGCGTAGTGTAGGAAGTAGCAGTTGGAAAAACCAGAAAATGTATGAAAATGTCGAAACAGTTGGATTTGATTCATTCACCATTAATCTATGGGGGGTTCCATAGATGGGGGTACCCCAAAATAGATGGTTTACAATGGAAAATCCCAATCTCAAACGGATGATTTGCGGGTACACCCATTTATGGAAACCCTCATATAATCATTAAACACACCACACACATTAGTTTTTTGTTTAAGCAGTTGGATTCCTGGTCAAGTCTAATGGTCTAGTGTGACATGTTTCGTGTCGAAAATGAGGAACAAGGTCAACTACATGTGTAGCCAATAGGAGATATGCGTATGAGTTAACTATCAGAGATGATTGTATAGGTTGTCTAACATACGCTTTCCACTGCAGATAGACTCTATCCTTTTAGAGATACTTAGTATTAGTATCTTTTTTTTTGAGATACTTCCACATTTGAGATCAAGTTGGTTAAACATCTCCCATGATATCATAGCCCCATCATATCCCACTGTATCCAGAGATATCTGAATTCGGAAAATCACCCCATTCAACGTCCGTTTCAGGTCCTCAGAAAGCTGGAGGTGGGCGAAGTGGTGCGGCTTTTGGAAGGTCCTGAAATCGACAAGGTGCATCCGTTTTGGATGGGCCAAGAAGTAGCGAAATATGGGGAGATCACCTCGTTTTGGGCTGGTTTGTGCAGCATCAACTGGTGTCTTTGCAGAGTTTCTGTTGGTTAAATTTTGATGCAGGATATATTTGGATACATATTTGGGATTCCTGGCTCAAAGAGCCATCAGCCCCAAACTTACCCCCCAGCTGCCGAATCTTTCGACGAAGGACACGGGCGTGACCCGACTGAAGGCGCTTTGCATCCAGGACTGCTGCTCTGGAGGTGTGACAGCAACAAATTTCGCTGTTGTTGACCTTTGTTTACGGATGTTTATCCTTCAGGAAATGGTGATTTTTCAGCAACAACTTAAATTTTTTAAATGGTGATCAATCATCAGAATGGGGCCGACTCCAGGAAAGTCTCACTAATCGCTGCGCTTCCGCTGCGCTTCCGCAGTGGAAGCCATTTCGCAAAAACGCACGCGAGCACGCGATGGGATGAAATGGGATGGTCCAATGGCTCTGAAAAAAACCCCAGTCTGTTCCATATTGGGGTTCCATGTGTCATATGGTGGTACTACTACGGGGAAGGGATTCCCATGTGGAAAATCAAGGTTTTGACATTTGACAGCTGCCGGTCATGGTGAACTGATTGGGTTTGTTGCCTGGGACTTAGCGAGGCAAATGGTTAGGAAAAAGAATCAAAAGGAATGAGACCTACCACAAAGCCAACTCCACTTGCAGTGGGGTCGAAACCTCAGAAGTAGGGATGAAAGAGGGTAAGCAGGGCTATGCAAGCCCAAGAGCATAGCTTGACACTTGAATCACTTGACATTGTTTCTTCTTTGCTAACTGGAGTTGCTTTAAACGCTAGCTCAAAGATTAGAGGCACGAAAGCTTCCATAAAGTGCTTGGTTTTTCCCACGGGATGGATCGAGTTACGTACGAAATCCCATAGGGAAGGATGGACATCCCCCGGTTTTCATCCCATATTTGGAATCCCAATCCCATAAACACCAACGATTTTAGGGTGAAAACCAGGGGCATTTTCATGGCATCTTGAACCGTTTGGAGGGCTGGCAATGGAACGTGTTGGGTTAACTTGGTGATTTTCACCAAGTTATAAAAATTACTGGGTTAACTGAACCATTCACAAACAAAAACCATAGACAACTAGACAGAGCCATTATGCCAAACGAGCCATAGACAACTCATCCAGGTTATCCAATATTTCTTGGGTACCCTCTGGTAAACAACTAACATAACTATGGAAAGATCCACCATTTTCAATAGGTAAATCCACTATAAATCACCATTTTCAATAGGTAAATCCACTATAAATCACCATTTTCAATAGGTAAATCATGGTAAATCCACTATAAATGGCCCATTTTCAATAGCTATTTTGACATAACCAGAGGGTATCCCCTTGCATCGTCTCGACGAGCGAAGGATAACCTGGAGGGCTGGGTCACCACTCTTGGCAACGCTGGCACCGTGTACGCGGAGGATCCAAAGTTCTCATGGGCAAAACATGGCAAGACAACGGGTTGATGGTTGTTGATTGATCATGTTGATTGATTATTAGATACTATTCTTATCTATCATATCATATACATATATATATATACATATATATATACATATATATATAGCATTATATAGCTATATTATGTTATATGAATGTATATTAATGTATATGGTGTTTTAATTTTAGGTGGTTTCATCATTGTTCACCGTTTCACCGTTTCACCGTGTCACCGTTTGGTCGGTTTTTCTTGGGACCTTCGGGACCCAGAAATGCTGGGCCCTGGGTCGGGAAGGGGATGGGATGGCAAGAAAGTGAGACCCTCTGGTTATGTCAAAATAGCTATTGAAAATGGGCCATTTATAGTGGATTTACCATGATTTACCTATTGAAAATGGTGATTTATAGTGGATTTTCCCATTGATAGCATGGTGATTTTCCAGTTCGCTATGTTAAATTACCAGAGGGTAGAAAGTGCCACAGAAAATGACTTCACTAATGCTGGTGATTAGATACACCATGAAAATTTATTGGTGTACCTTAAAACCATTGGATGCTACAAATTGTGGTATTCTGGGATAAACACCTGAAAATTTTAAGTACATAAATTACAAAAAAACACCGCAAATATCACTAAATATAGTGAAAGGGGGGGGTACCATATATGTGTATAACCATTCCTAATCATAGAGTCAAAGCACCATTAAGAACTATGACTTCTTATTGCTTAATATAGTAGTTAAATGTAGTTAAATTATATTGAATAATTATGTCAAGAGATTATCAACATCATGTTAACATTTATTAACGGTTCATCATTTCTATGTTTCCGAACACATCCAGAACTTCCTGCTCCACGCACCGCATCCACCCCGAAAACAGGAGAAGACTGACATCTACAGCGTCGTGTGCGAGGCGACACGCGAAAACACTGGGCATCCTGCAGTGTGTCATGATGGCAGTCCCAGTTCCATTTACCATCTGGATATGTAACATAGCTATGGAAATAGCCCATAGAAATAGATGATTTGCGATGATTTACCTATTAAAAATGGTGATGTCCCATAGCCACGTTAGTCATAACCATAGGGTAACCAACATGGAGATATACTGGTTCACGGGTATAGACAGGTATTTTGACCCACGATGGTGCTATCGGATCTTTTTATTTTCAAAGCAGATTGGACTGGGATGATGATCCCCAATCATTACTGCTGGTTGGTGGTTTCCAACATTTGTTATTTTCCATAATATATATATATTATATATGAGATGTCATCCTTCCCATTGACTCGTAACTCATATTTTTCAAGATGGTTATTGCACCACCAATCATTACTGCAATCATCTGCAATGGTTTGTCAGAGGGCTTGAAACCATCAAGAACCATCAACCAGACATGGATCAGACATCCTGTCACAACCTGTCCCCCACGGAACCGCCCCAGGCTCTACCACTGCAAAAGGCGTTCATCGACCTGAGCCACCCGGCTATGCCTAACAAATCAAACTGTTCACAAACTGTTTTTTCCAGGGGGAATATGATCTGGAACCAAGGAAAAAAGGCTTGGATTGACATATAATTCATATAATTCCAAGTGAAAGGAAGACTTTTGAAGAGCCAAATTGTTTTTAATTTTCTCAGGGACAAATGACGAACAAAATCATCCCCTGCGAATCTAGAAAAGGACCAGCTACTGTACTGATTCCATTGGTGTTCCATTTTAAAATTGTCGTCCATGATATGTCACATTGTTGGTGGTAGATCTGTACACGCGAAATCGAAAAGCCGTACAGACTCAGGTCGCCAGACTCATTTGCACCAAAGGTGCAAGTGAAAGTTCGTTATGTTTGCTATCTACAGATGTTTGCTATCTACAGAAACCTCGGCAATGGAAGATCCACTCATCCATATTGTTTCTCTTGAACCAGGTCACGCTAGAGATGTATATAAGCCATATTGGCTAATATATCTAAATAATTCTCATATACCTGGTGATGTAAAGGAAACCTCCAAAGCCGCTGGTGATTTTCTTTTGCCAGGTTTCTTCAAAGCAGTCCTCAAAAACAGCATAAAACAACGATATGAAGAGTCTAGAAAAACCCGCAAGACGTGTTACTGTCTAAAGTCAAACCAACAGCTATCAACGTTTTTACCCCTGTCAACCTTAATTTCAACAACTAAATGATCAATGGTTTTCCCAACATTTTCCCAACATTTTTCCCTGGTAATGGAGGTACTGGCACCCTGCGGATGCTTCAGAAGGACGAAGCCTTTGAGGCGGTTGTCGAATTTCACCGTGGCAAAATCGGTTGGGGGGTTTCCCCTATGAAGCATGGGTGATTTTTACATGATTTAACCGTCAAACATATGAGTTCAACCAAGAACAAATGATGATTTAGGCATGAACAAAAACTTGGGATGGCGTTTTTTTAAAATGGAATCCTCGGATTTTACCAATGAATCATGGGATTTGGCGAATGTTTCAGGGTGATTTGCCAAAGCCAAAGCCAAGGCCCCTTGGCCACGATTTATGATTTAACCATATGAAACACGATTCATTTCATTCATTTCAGCAGAAACACGTTGGGCATACGCATTTCACCATGAATAATGGGAGAACATGCCAGCAACATGTGGATTTCACCAGAAATCATGGATCAAACTGGAGATTTCACAGAACCGGGCGGGGTAAGACCATCATATGCTTTACATTTCTTGGGACAAAGCATCCAAGATTTTTGAGCCAAAGCTGATAAATCAGCTAAACTGACAGAATCACAAGCTTTTTCTTCATCAAAATCATTATCAAGCAGAATCAGCAACTTGGCATTTTTATTCACAAAATAAAAAGTTGTTAAATCATACAGATTTTAAAGCACAAATTGTATTATTTGGTCGCCCATCCAATCCTTCTAATCCTTCTACCATCAATCAGATTGCTTCAGGATCGATATCCCCAGCCCATTGGGTCCTGTTAGATTCCTTGACTTTCCCTGTTGGTGGACCCAACAAGGACCCAAAAAATGACCCAACAAGTTTGCGGGTCCATGCAGCCCCATCTGTGTGCCATGTAAGTTTGGTCATTTGTCCCAGGTATGTTTGTGAGGTAAAAATCCATGTTCATCCCATACCAGGTGACCGTCCCCAGGTTATGTTTGCTGGTTTATCTTCGCCCAAATCATAGCAGTAACTAGTGAGAGCTATATATATATATCATGAACCATAGTCGTATTTACCTACCGGATAAACATGGATAAACCAACTTAGGTATCTTAGGTATCGTTTGCAGGCCTCCCTTGTGGAATATTGAATATAGACATCCCCAAGAATAGATGGCTAGCACGCCCTATCAGTGGTTCTTTAGGCATTTTTTATACGCCCCCGACCTCAGGGGGGTGACCTCGGGGGGGGTGGTTGAATCCTCATGAACTATGGAAACTAACTTAGCTATCATATATTTGAATATAACTAAGTTTATAATTAATTACTCAACTATCATGATAATTGATATATACTGAACTATGAACTATTGATATATATATATATATATGTATAATTATATATATATATATATCAAGTATAAATATCTCAATTTTTATATTTTTGTTTCCGCAGTTTATTGCTGGTGAAGTTCCATCTTTTTTTGGAAAGTTAAAAGATCTCCCGGATCGGGGGTCCTTTGTGCCCCTCGCCAGGTTCTTGAAGGCCCCAAGGAATTCCAACCGGAGCCTGCCGAGCGGATGAAGGTCGTGACGGTCGTGTTTCGAGGGGCTCAGATTGCTCCATTTTTCTATGGAAAATCATGGGATTTTTAATGATTCAATGGAAATTTTATAGTGATTCAATGGGATATTAATGGGAAATACCCTCTGGTAAACATACAATATAGGAAACATCACAATTTTTTAATGCGTAAATCAGCTATTTCGATTAGGGCCATTTTCAATGTCGCGAACTGTTAGTCATTACCAGAGGGTAGTTTTGTTGATTCATTCTGATTGATTCTTATATTTGTTGAAGAATGTTGAAGAATGTTGAAGATACATATATGTTGATATTTGACGAAGGTTGATTCCATTGATTAATCATGAAACATACATTTGTTCCATTGATTGTCGGATTATTATATCTTTGTTCATACTTGCTTTAACGGGGACTAGTAGAATGACCCACTACAGTACTACTATTTATGAAGCCTGATCAGCCAAGCAGCATAATGGGGTGCTATTGTTCATGGCTCAGGTGGTGTATTAGGGATATAATGGACATATGGGGGGATTCCGGATACCCCATCAACAGTGGGGAGATGCTGCTCCAAGATCCATCGTTGGATTTTATTTTGAACCTGGGACATCATGATGCCCTAATTTCCATAGTTTCTTGAAATTATAAATTTCTATCCGGCTATGCATGAGAAATTCTGCAGCCGCAAGTTCTTGCGTCTTCGATTTAAAACGGTTTGGAATGGTCAACCAGAAATGGCAATGGTTGCTTCGTTGCTTCCCTATGCTAGGGTTCAGAATCCCAAAAGAACTGGGGATTCCAGCCATTATTTCTGGGATTCCAGGGACATAGATGGACCATGGACCATCAAAATTGGTGAAATGGACAATTGCAATGGCAGATTGGGATCTTTTTTGAACTGTACCCACCCATTTAGCTCGATGATTTTACCCAGAAGAAATGCTGACTATCCATATGTTAGATTACCGGAGGGTAGACCATCAAAATTGGTGAATTCGCATCTTGCTGGTTGGATCCCATGTGGTGGCCGACGCTGAAAAGGTGGTGTATCCTGGCCGATAGTTGAAGAATGCTGGCCTAAACACCAACACCTACGACTTTTCCATACTTTTCCATACTTTTCCATACTTTTACTGATGGTTTATCAATGTCGATCATCCTCTACCTATGAATCCCGACTTCCAGACTTTTCCAAGCCGTAAAGAAATGATTGGTTCATGATCCCGGGCCGTTGCCAGGGCCGTGCCGTGGCGGACGGCCAAGTGGGTTGGGTGACGGTCACCAACAAAAGGCCGGCGCCGTTGAGGGGCTTACCATAAGGTCCATGTGTTTGGGCTATACTCAATGGGAGATCTCCAGGATCCAACAGATGGAGGTACGTAAACGTACCATATTTCTGGCCATATTTTGGGGGTATATCCCCTGAAATTTAGGCCTAAAAAATAGGCATTATATATGGTAGGTACCTACAATTTAGGTTCCTGAATTTCCCATTGATATATCCTCTGGTAAATAAACATAGACCCTGAAAATCACCAATTTTTAATGGAAACTTGGAAACTAATCTTCCAACCCCGATGACTGCCAGGGTCGAACTGTTAATTTACTGGTGGGTAATTTTAAGGGGATATAGCCCCGAATTTATATGGCTTTATATGGCTTCAAAAAAGGTGCACTAGCTCCATTTTAGGATCCTGAAATTCCCATTGAGAATGGGGAATATTTCATGGGACATATCTTCGGTCGGTATCTCACCGAATGATCGACATATCACCGAATCTCCAGATGATTCGCCGGTGGAAAATCATCCACACGGCTAGAAACTCCACCCCCTACGCCGCTATCGTTCGATGATTCGCCCATTTTTGCCAATTTTGCAATGTTTTTTTTTCCAGCTAGCCATGTTTGATTAGTGGAGGCTAGTGGGCTTGATTAGAAATTGTCACATGTCCATCCAGTTACATCATAGCTATACCATTCTTAGGCGGATAAACATCCAGTTACCAGCCATCTTCATGTTCACCAGGGGGTGGGGGTTTGATCCATCGTCAAATCTGTGGCATTTTGGGTACCCAAAATGATAGAACCCGCATTTCGCCAAGTTTCACAGACGTTTCCCGTAGCTCAAATTCCTTGAGTGTTCTGGAAAGCTTATGGGCATGTCATACATCCGTGGGATTCTTTGGGGGGTCCCAGGAAATTGCAAGTGGGGATTTCACCTCGTAGGGTCAAGTACATCTTCGAAATCATTCAACATTTCTCATAACCAAAAAGGGATGGATTAGTAGCAATGACCAATCTGCATCATGTTCAAGTCATACTCATTGTTGGCATGATTTTCTGGTATGCTTCATCACCAATTTTCATATAGTCACATTTATTTGCCCACGTGCTTGAAAAACAAGCATCCGTTTGCAAAAAAAAATATGGTTCTCCCAACACCCCTGGGTTTTCCTCATGAAGCCTGAAGCCCGCAGGGTAAAGAGATGGTACCCTAGCTACATCTGCAAGCAAAGCTGTGCAGGGGCCTCTGCTTGTGGTATTGATGGTGAAACATGTGATGGTGTGTGCACCTTGAAGAGTGGGTGGTATCAAGCTTGAAAAACGCACATATATATATATACTATATAATATATAATAATATATATAATATATATAATATATATATAATATAATATAATATAATATACTATAATATAATATAATACAATATAATATAATATAATATGATATAATATAATATAATACAACATAATATAATATAATATAATATAATATAATATAATATAATATATATAATATAATACATATATAATATATAATATAATATATATATATACAAGTAAGTTCTATAACCTTTGTATATATATATATACATACACATATATAACCTTAATATACACCTAATTACACATACTAATATGTATATATATATATACATAACAAACACGCAAACTAGTTATCTTCAATTCGATGGTATATCGGTATACACACCATCTTGCTCTAACTTAGATCATGCATTTTTGGTAAGTGATGTTGACACCACCGCCTTAACGGCCCCCTTAACGGCCCCACGTTGGGCCCACGGCAGGTGATGCAAGACACGCTGAACACCGTCTCCGCTGGGCCCTCGAACACCGTGCGACGGGTGGAGGAAGGTGAGCTCCTGGAGGTGCTCGATGGTCCTCAGGAGGCGCAGTTCAGTCACCGCTGATTTTGGGGGGTTCAGAATGGGATAAGAGGGTACCCTCTGGTCAACCGTTAAACATCGTTAAACGTTTACAGTTTGCGAAGTGGAACATCAGCATTTTTGATAGGTAAATCAACGAACTAAATGGATCTAAATGGCCCAATGGCCATTTTCGCTATGTTAGTCATTGTAAGAGGGTATTGGAAATGTGGGGCTCGAATTTCAGATGAGGAGTTTCACCCACGAAATCCAGGTTGGAGTCGGAATTCGGGGCCTGGGTATGGCGTTGGTGGTACAGGTTGTTAAAACACATTCAAGTTGGGTGAAAGACATGAAGATCGGCAACCTGGCTTACCTGGGGATACCTGGGGGGGTTTCCTGTTGGTGCGGAGCAGGACAAAGCAGCGAGTTTGCTGAGAATAAAAGCGAAAGCTCGCAAGGATCAAGCAGTAGGCCGCGGCCTGATCAGGGGGAGTTGGACAAAGATCGACCAGGGACTGGGTCTTGAACTTTGGCCCCCGGCGCCAGAGACCTTTCCAGCTCCCGCAGCTGAAAGCGCCTTAGGCTGGATCACATTGAAAGGAAACCAAGGAACAGTATTCCTCACACAGTTTGAGCCTCGGTGACGCGGACCTGCTGGATTGGTTAGAAGAGGTTTGAGCCAAAGGAGCCAAAGAGAAAAATTGGCTGGGTCATTTGCAGTAATGTGGGCAACCCATTAATCAAGCATCCCCCAAATCAGCATTTTTACGGGTGCTATAAACCCTCCCCAAATGGTTGCTTTACGGGAGTGGGTTTCCCACATTACATTCATTTGTATTCATTCATATTCATTTATATATATATATCATCTTTATCCGAAATCTGGTGACAGCTCTTGTGACATTTTCTATGGCGATGTTCTTACCCACAGAAGTGTCACAAAGGTGTCATATTTCACCCCCAAAGCAACTCACATGTTCAGCGACAGAAAGCATCTTCTCCCAAACAAATACTGGTTGGTGGTTTGGAAATGTTTGGAACATTTTTTATTTTTCCATACATTGGGAATGTCATCATCCCAACTGACTTTCACTCCATCATTTTTCGGGATAGGTCAACCACCAACCATCACCAACCAGAATAAGTGGGAGTTGCTGATATTCAGCATCTGAATATAGGCAACTCCCACTTATTTGTTTGGGAGAAATGGTCAAAGCCACGGATCGGTGTCTCGGTCCTCCGGTATGGTCCTTGCAGTGGTCCCCCAGTGGTCCCCCAGTCTCTGCAGGTGGAGCAGGAAAGATGAAGAACAATTGAAGCCAGGAGGGCTCAGTGGTACCACAAAGGAGTTCAGTGATGAGTTTTTTCTTGGCAGATTATTTTAAAATACCATTGTAAATTACATACATATATATATATATATATTTGCATATATATATATATATCAAGCATAAGCCACTCACTGCTATTGAAATACGATGACCGATGACCGTTGCTTTTGAAGATGATACATTTTGCATTTCCTGGTTCTTTTAAAGTGTTTTTCAGGGTGCGGATGCCAACTTCTTTTTTCCCAGTTGTCGCTGTGCTGAGGCAGAAACAACGATCACTTCAAGAAGGTCCAGTGGGATGCTGATCTGCTCATGGGCGTCATGATTCAAGATCCAGGGGACCACAGATTGGAATGTCTATGTTTAACATGTTTTAACCATCTAGTTTGGAACGGGCTATCCAAATGCTTTTGGACTGTTTTGGACGATTTTACGTTCCAAAATGGCCAGAACGCCAGAAGTTTGTTGGGTCGACCATCCTGTTTTGGAGGGTGACCCAATGTTGACACACGGGCCCGTGGCTATGGGTCAGAAATTACCACTTCATTTTGGGTCACAAAAGGCTACCAGGCTGAAATGACTCAGTTCATACAGCAAAATAAGAACAGATCATCCCCATGTACCCTCTGGTAATTTAACATAGCTATGGAAAATCACCATTTTTAATGGGAAAATCCACTATAAATGGTCATTTTCAATAGCTACGTTAAATTACCAGAGGGTATATTATGACCTCACTCCCCATTTTACGTAGCTCAAGTTCCCAGAAAGCTCAGCTTCGCCTCGTTGCCGAAGCATGCCGTTTCGCCGCAGGACTCGGCAAGGACGCGTGAGGGGGAGTTGTCACATGGCCACATGGAGATCAAGGGATGAACATGGTTTCCCGGTCCAAAAACTCGCAAAAACTACCTTAAACCCCAAGCGTTGAACAGTCGTTTCCGGGTGCCTGTGGCGCCTGTGGCTCTCCGTCTCCCGCAGTTTGGGGCAAAAAACCGTCCTTCAGCCGTGAGCTTTGAGGGGCGTTGCCGTTCAGCGGGGCGGTCAGATGGGAATGGCCGCTGTCGTTCACGCGGATCTTCATGAAGTTGTGACGTGGGTGCGGATAGGTCGGATAGGAATATGATGGAATATGGGGGATAGCCTCAAAATGCCACTGGGAGATGACAAAGCATCAAATTTGGGGGTAGCCTATTGATAAACCCACTCGGATATGGCGACCAATGGGGTGACTGGGCTTACACCAATGAGGGTCTTGACTGTTTGCTATTCAATTTTTGAGCTGATTATTTTGAGCTGCAGCCCTACGTATCTAGCATAATGATCCCGTTTGCCCCAAAAAACATGGAGTATTTTTTTTGTCAGTGGATTATTATTGTATCGGGCCATATGTTACATTGGGTCTGGAACTATTGTAATCGCATATGGATCCTCTTCTCAACCAACCAGTACTCAAGTACGAGGGGATGAGTGAGGTTTTTGGGAGTAGAAATTGAGTTTGGATTCACATACCCAACTGGATTCCAAGATCTGTTTGTTTTGGAACGGCCTAAACTTCCCATCGCCGCCAATTTAAGATCGCTCGGTGGAAACATGGCTGGCAGGAAAGGTCTACCACTGGAGACGGATTTGAGCTGTTGCCACAGCCACAATGATGGAACATGTTGATAATCAAGTCACTGAATACACTCCTATTATCTCCTATTTGTGTAGGGGATTGATTCCTATATGGATTAATTATGTCCCAAGAACTGAGCATCGACGGAGCCACATCATCGCAGTTTGGGGGTAAGGAGATTTCAGCGCCCATTGATGATGAAAATCAGCATTTGCCAAACAGTAGAGGGAATGTCCAGAAAGATCAACCAAAACCGTGGGCGGGTCATTTCAAACAGCTTCCATCCACAATGCCACAAAGCTTGCGAAGCTGGTGACAGGGCGTCAAAGGGTTTAAGTTCAAACAGTTGGTTCAGGTCCCAGATAGACAGCCAACATATTGTATATAATGTATATATATATATATATACATTTACACGCTCTCTACGGGGAACCAATTTAAATACTTTTCTGCGTATATATATATATATAATATGCAGCATATGCATCTAATACATACATATATATATATATATCATGTTACATGAGTTGGTGAATTGCTGCATGTAAGTTAGCTGTAGCAAACTCTTTCGACATGGGATGGTGCAGTGTCACATGAAGCGGGTCTAACGAGGCCGGGTTTGTCCAAAACGAGGGCAGCCCTAAATCTACTGGTTGATCACAATGTTCTGCATTGAACAGCCAATTTTTGCCATGGTGGACGCCATTTTCAGACAATATTCATATCATTGGTTACTGTATACAGTTTATATCCCGCAAATATCGTACTATTTCACACCTGGAAGTACCCATGAAAACGCTCAACATTCCAGGAGGATAGGGTAAGTTTTTTTTTTTTTAATCTCATGAATGGGTTTGGTCAATGTTTTTTTTTTTTAACCATGTTGATGATGATGATGATGATAATGATGATAATGATGATGATGATGGTGATGATAATAATGGTCCGTGTTGGATGTTTAGACCACCGTTCCAATCCTATCCCGCGCTTTGGGATCAAGTCGCCGTCGACGGCACGTGGAGAAACACAACCAATTCGCGATGGAGGAGGAAGGCAACCCATGGGGTGGCCAATTAAGCACCGGTTGGTGTACACGAAATGCACCATGCAGAGGAGTGAACATGGGGAAACTGGGAATCATATCCTGGTGGTATCATTATTTTTTCCGTTATTTGATGCGTTTCCATAGCAAGATCGGTTGATTGGATGATATCATCGTGCTATTCTTTCTATATAGATGTTTCTTGTTTTTTTTTTGCCGGAGGAACCGGAGAAATTTGGAATAGAATCATGCATTCTGGTGTTCCGAGAAATGACGGGGAAACTTGCAGGGACCCATATCAAGGATATTTGTTTTAAAACCGATGGTTGTCTGGTTGGTGCTTTGGAACCATGGAATTTTATGACTTTCCATTCAGTTGGGAATTTCATCAATCCCAACTGACGTTCACTCCATGATTTTTCGGGCTAGGTCAACCACCAGTTCAATGGATTGGATTAAGGGAAAATTTACAGGAAACCATAGATTTTCCCATTAAATATGGGGCTTTCCTGTAAATTTTCCCTTAATCCAATCCATTGATATATAGATGTTTCTTGTTTTTTTTTTGCCGGAGGAACCGGACAAATTTGGAATAGAATCATGCATTCTGGTGCTCAGAGAAATGATGGGGAAACTTGCAGGGACCCATATCAAGGATATTTGTTTTAAAACCGATGGTTGTTTTTTTTTGGTGCTTTGGAACCATGGAATTTTATGACTTTCCATTCAGTTGGGAATTTCATCAATCCCAAGTGACGAAGTCCATGATTTTTCGGGCTAGGTCAACCACCAGTTCAATGGATTGGATTAAGGGAAAATTTACAGGAAACCATAGATTTTCCCATTAAATATGGGGCTTTCCTGTAAATTTTCCCTTAATCCAATCCATTGACCAGTTGTAGATTGTCAGTTCAATCGGCAACGGCTTCGGAGGTCTCCCAGGTTCCATTGGAGTCGTGGGCGTGGGAACGATTGGTTGCTCGGTGCGGATCATGGCACCATGGCACCAGCAGATCAAGATTCGAAGAAAACATAGGACAAGCATAACTGGTTCTATGGAAACCCCCATACTATGGATGGTATAAGTTGGTTTATAAAGCCATATAAAGCCCATCAACTATGCTTATATCTACCATAACCCATCTGGTTGGTGGTTTCAAACATGAATTTTATTTTCCATTTCATATATGGGATAGTCCTTCCCATTGACTCATATTTTTCAAGATGGGTAAACCAACCAGATGAATTGCACAGGTACTTGCAAAACTCAGCAGACATATGATTTTTCTCGGCACTTGGTTGCGTGGGGTTTGTCTCAGACAAATCAGAAATTTGTTTGGAGCATTTCATTGAGACCATGCTACTTGCATTTTCAGGGCGAACATGCAGAAGGAGTTTAGTTTCTTGCAATACATGTGTTTTGAGGTGAATTCACACAGTCGGTGGTATAATGTGTGCAAACGAACACCCAGTTGCGATGAGGATCCTCTTCAAAGGGTGAAGCGGGCAACTAGCCAGTTTCCCCCTTATTTTCTGATTTATCTGTCACATCCCAAGGGGGGTGGGTGAAAAATGTTAAAAACATTAGTTCAAAGAAGTTATATAAATTCAAATTATAGCAGTATAACAACTCCATAATTATTTGCAAAAAAAACATAACAACTAACCACAATTACCTCATTCATTCCACAAAATCATCACTACTAACCATATCATCATCTCATTCATTTTCATAAATCAAAACAACCTACAATCTCTATACCTCATCCATTTTATAGAAATCATCACAGTCAATACATCATCACCTCATCCATTCCATACCCAAAACAAAACAACCAAACAACAAACAAAAAAAAAACAAACCAAGCAAAGCGCAACATAAAAAAACAAAACAATAGACAACAATACAGATACTTCCTTAGTCTTTAATAATCCTATCTTACAAACCCAGAACTCTAATAATATTATCATTAAAATTATGTAAGTAGTAAATTACTTCAATAATTACTAATTCAAAATGAAATGCTTGTATTCCTATTATACTGTCTTTATCATTGTCTTCATCTATATCTTCCTGTATTTCTTCAACTGCTTTATCTAATACATCATCTATATTATCTTTATCTACGTATTCATCAAAGCCATTCATAAAATAAATTTCTCTATAACTAAATTCATTTTCTCCATATTCCTTTTCTGGGAGTTTTGCCACTAATTGAACTTCAATATCAAGTTTAACTCTATAATTTACATCATCTTCTACTTCTTCATAAATTAAAGATAATAATTCTTTTTCTTCTGTTAATATGTCTTCTATACTTTTTAAACTAAATGGCACTCCCTCTCTCATAATACAGTATTCAATGATATATATTTTTGTTCTTGATTTCAAATGTCTTGTTATTTTAGGACCAAGTCTTGATATTTTATATTGTGCTGTATTCTCTTCAATGCTTCACTATACTTTACTTTCAAATATTTCGGGTCTCCAATTTTTTTCCGAATCAATTTTACTCAACACATCAACAGGTAAATCCTTCACACAATCCATCCCACTAATATACTTAAATAACTATTCTTTAAGTATATATTCTATGATTAAAATAACGCATTCTTTTGAAAACTACTTAAAGATAAATTAACTAAATAAAATATATACTATTATATGATGAAAAAAGTTATAGACTATTTATTGAGTAATGATTTAGCAGAAATACCAAAGAGAGGAAGGAAAGAATTGAAGTCCATAATCATAGACAACAGGAAATTCAGATACAACAAAGACAAACCCATATCAAATGTCTTGACCAAGAAACTACTATCAGTAAAGAACACTAATGAATACAGAAGTTATGCTATGAAAAAGGCAACAGATGTTGTAAGTAGAGAAAGGGTTAGACAATTAATAACCAAACACGCAATAAGAAATAAATTTAGGGTCAGAGATATTCAATCAGCATTTAGAAGATATGCTAATTCAATAGTTTTAGAAAACAAGCACTTTCAAGGAGAAAGAGGATTAGAAATGATTGCTCACCAAAAGCAAAGACTATCAGAATTTTTAAGCAATAATAGAAACATGAAACTTAACATAAGAACGGAAGGATTATTTGAAAAACCTGAATATGATGATGGAGGAAATGAATTAGGAAGTCAAGAACTTGTATATGCTTTACCATCAACATATCATCCAATTCACAATGAATATGAACTGACACAAGCATTAGAAGATAGTGTTATTCAAATCCGATTACAAATACAAAATTTGGAAGGTTCAACATCTAATTTAAGATTTAGAAAGATTTTATCAATAACTATTCACTATGACAAATTTGACCCAACAAGAGCAGGCAGTTTTATAGAATTACCAGAATGGATTAAATCAAAGAAAGCTTGTATCAACATAAAAAATAAAGACCAAAAATGTTTCAAATACTGTATTCAATCCGTAGTCTATGACAAAATTAGCAAACATCACCCAGAGGAAATGTTCCACTATAATAAACTAAACGATGATATTTTGAACTGGGATGGTGTAAAATTTCCAACTTGCAATAGGGACATAGACAGATTTGAAGAGAACAACAACTTAATTTCAATAAATGTTTTTGAAACTGATGACTGCCTAAATAATAATAAAATAATCATACATAGAGGCACTAAAAATAGAAATGCTAAATATGAAATTGATTTATTAAAAGTCTATGATAAAGGTAATAACTATCACTATGTATTAGTGAAAAACAAAAGTAGATTACTTAACTGCCAAAGCAACAAAAATATCAACAAGAAACACTACTGCCATCATTGCTTAAACCCTTTCTCATCAGAAAAGGCATATAAGAACCATCTTGAAAAGGGATGTATGGCATCAGAAGGACAACAAACAACGATGCCTGATAAAGACACTTACATAGAATTTCAAAAGCATAATACCAAATTGCCTTGTCCTTTTGTAATCTATGGTGATTTTGAATGTCTAACCACTAGCTCTAACAATGGTATAAAAGGCACATATCAGGAACATAAACCGTGCGGTTATATGTTGAATGTAGTAAGAAGGATTGATAATACATGCCAACCATACTTATACAGAGGTGAGGATTGTATGAAAAAGTTTGTAGAACAACTGACTGAAATTAAGAAAGATATATTTGAAAAGATGAATGTTGATAGACCAATGGATGAATTAACTTACGAACAAAAGACAGAATTTAGAAACGCGACCCACTGCTCTATATGTAATAAGAAATTTCAACCTGATGATACAAAAGTCCAAGACCACTGCCACTTCACAGGCAAATACAGAGGCGTGGCGCATGTAAATTGTAATTTGGATTATTCATTTAGGTATTTTAAGATCCCTATTTTCTTTCATAATCTTAAAAATTATGACGCTCACTTAATCATAGCAAAAGCAAATGAACTAAACATAGAACTAAACCAAAACAAAAGAATAGATGTAATAGCACAAAACAGCGAAAAGTTCATAACCTTTTCATTTGGTGCTTGTCAGTTTAAAGACAGTTTTGCTTTCTTAACAGCATCATTAGATAAATTAGTTAGACTGAACACATATGAAGGAAATGAACAGATTAAAAACTGGGAAACTCGTTTTAGATATACAAGCACAAACCCATACATTAAATCAAAAACTGATTTGAATTTACTAACTGAGAAAGGGGTCCCTATGACATGAACTCATGGGAGAAATTCGATGAAACAAAACTACCAAAAAAGGAAGATTTTTACAGTAAATTATATGAAGAAAACATAACTGACAAAGACTACGCCAGAGCAAATATCGTATGGAAACATTTTGACATTAAAGACCTTGGTGAATATCATGATTTATATTTGATGACTGATGTATGTTTACTAACTGATGTATTTGAAAATTTTAGGGACGCGTGCTTAAACTATTATGGATTAGACCCAGCATATTATATCACTTTACCTAACTATTCTTGGAATGCCTTTTTATCATTAACAGGAGTTAGACTTCAACAAATCCACATAAAAGAAATGTATGAGATGATTGAAAAAGGATTAAGAGGAGGAATGACACAATGCTCCTTCAAGAAAGTAGAAGCAAACAATAAATACATGAATGAAGATTATGATAAATCTAAACCTTCATCGTACATAAGTTATTTAGACGCTAATAATCTTTACGGATTAGCAATGTGTAAGAAACTTCCCTATGATGATTTTAAATGGCATTACGGTAGAATGGATGAAAAGAGAGTAATGAAATATTGTGATGATGATGACATAGGATACATATTGGAAGTTGATTTGGATTACCCAAAAGAACTACATGATTTACATAAAACATCATCAGCGTAACATGAACGTGAACATCCCACCCCACCCCAACCCCCACGAGCAGCGCAACATCATCAGCGTAACATGAACGTTAACATCCCACCCCACCCCACCCCTAACCCCCACGAGCAGCGTAACATCATCAGCGTAACATGAACGTTAGCATCCCACCCCACCCCACCCCAAACCCCACGAGCAGCGTAACATCATCAGCGTAACATGAACGTTAACATCCCACCCCACCCCCACCCCAACCCCCAGAAGCAGCGTAACATCATCAGCGTAACATGAACGTTAACATCCCACCCCACCCCAACCCATGTTTGCTAAAAACAAGCATATTCCACGGGGACGTACCTTGGGCGTGAGCTAAAACAACCATAGAAAATATAGAAATGGGACGATGATCCTCAATGATTTTTACATTTTTTTTTTCAGGGGTGTGGCTCGGCCACAAACCAAATATAGTATTTAAGTATAAGATTGAAATCCCACTACATATCTCTATATAATCTATGATATATTTATATATACGTATATATATATATATGGCTGCGGCTCAAAATGTAAGGTTCCGATCCATACCCCGGTACCACATGCGATCCATACCCCATGATCCATACCAAAACGCAGGTGATCCAGACCGATCCATACGTCCGGATCACCCGCGGAACGATCCATACCCGTTTTTTGAGCCATACCCATATATATATATATCCATAGGAATCTCAACAGTTAACAATGTTTTACAACCCAATCCAACTACATAGATAGCCTATGATAACCTGAAAATAGGATTACCCTCTGGTAAACGTTTACATAACTATGGAAAATCACCACTTTAATAGGTAAATCGACAATAAATGGGCCATTTTCAATAAATATAACCCCCCATGTAGACCTAGCCTCAAGAGGTTCCGCGTTGATCCGTGGCTTGCTGTCGCCTGGACCCGGTGCACCAGCCAAGCTTCCGAGGCATGACATGGCGGCTGGGGGGTGTTCCCTGTAGGCCCTAAGACATGCAAAAGTATATGGTCCTATAGGTATATAATGGTATATAGTATGATAATAATAATCAATAATATAAATAGCAATAAATAATCATAATGATAATAGTGATAAGAATAATGACAATAATAATGATAGTAACAATGATAATAACAATAATAATAATGATAATAATATACATACACACCGGATGGAAAACATATATGACAGACATATCTTTCGGAACGGATTGAACCAATAGGGAGGATCAGAACGTAAGCCGTTTGGGAACTTGAATTTAAACTAACAATACTTGTTGATATAAATTAACAACAACTGGATATAGATCCTGACCAGCCATGAAGTTATGTTTTCGATCAACTGTACTTGATATCACTACCCAAAAGTTCGGATACCACCAACAAGAAGTGGGAATGTAACATACAATTATTTTGGATGTAACTTACTCGCGATCGTTGGAGTGCAAAACTAAGAAGGACTGTGCAGCAAACTTGGGGATATAGTTGAGCAACGGTATTCATATTTAATCTACTAGAACCACGGCATGCGTCTCCACCAGGATTGCTTCGCCGTACTGCCTACACAAATAATATCAAATAATTAGACCAGGAAGTTTCAGTCTGTTTCTGATGCTTATGGTTGCATTTGTGGTTGATTTAAGGCGACTTGACTGTTGATTTGTTGGCCCATGTTGGCCTCATAAACAAACAGTGTTGATGTAGCAAGGGCAAGGATGAAGGGCTGAAATTAATTCTGTTGATTATGACGACGAGAATGACGAACATATCGATTATTGGCAAGGATGACAGCAGATGATCGTTTCTATGCTTCCAACATCTCTGAGGAATCCATCAATCTGGGTAAATTATAACGACCTCACTGTTCTCCCTCACTGGAATCATGGTTAGATTGCGGGGAATCATCCCCAAATGGCCGCAAGATTCAGGTTAGTGAATTATTATGGCCTTTACCCAGATTGATGGTTAAGAATGGTTGATAATTGATAATGGGATTATGTATGATTATGTTTCATAGTAATGCTGACTAATGATGACATCAATGGTTAAGAATCCATCAATCACAATCCATTAATATCAACCATTAATAGCATCATTAATCGTGATCCAAGTGATCCTAGTGATACTAACCATTACCCATGACGGATCCATGGTGCTGGTATATATGCTAACATAACTGGGGTATATTGATGGTAAATGATACCATATATAGCATACATGGATCCTATGGGATACTAACCATTAGTACACCCGTATCACGATTGGATCACTTGGAAGGTCTGTCTCTGCTCAGGGTGGTGTTGTCTCCCCGTGGAGCTCTCAAGGCGGATCGGCGGAGATGTTCCGAAATGGATTTCGTGGAGATTTTAAGCAATCATCGGGATTCAACTGTGAATATAATATATATATATATAATAATGATAATAATAAAAATAAATAATAATAATAATAAATATAATAATATATATATACACGATATGATATGCTATGTTTGGATATGGATATGGATATGATAAGAATGTATATATATATATGATTAATTTGGAACACTTTCTAAGAGACTTGGACATGTCTAAATTTCAGACCTAGTTCCTCCTTGTTCCCTGTAGCTAGGCCGAAGCCCTGGCTGAAGCGTTTCCCGGAAATGTGGTGATTGCGAAGAGCAACCAAGAGGCCATACGTTTCGGTGGCCAGAGATGCGGTGTGTCCAAAATTTGAAGATCGATGTGAGACACACGGGGATTCATCCGTTGTTCATGCAACGAGAGCAGGGACCCAGCGCCATTGCGTAAACATGGAACTGATGTGTTGTGGTTTGTCTGAAAAGGGTGTCACACTAAATTCACTGGTCAATCATGAGCTTCATTTGGGGGGTAGACCTCACCAAATAGACCCAGTGAGATCGTAGCGATTTTTCGATCGCCAGGTAGTGGATGAGGTGGAGTGTGTCATTGTGGCGGTCCTCTTCAAACAGGTGAATGAGGTGGCGCGTGTTCCGGTCAAAGACTCGAAAACGCGCAATTTTTATATTCAATCTCTCCCAAAACATACTCATGTTCCATGGTATTGATTTCGGATCTTATGTGAGAAATCCATGATTTCTGGAATTTGAGCTGCCCGGTGCCAGCTAAAGCAATTGCTTTGTCAACTAAAAGCCAAACTTCAGAGGGGTGTGTGGACCATGCGGAAGGTCTTTGGAGCCCTGAAGTTTCGAAAAGAGTCAGAGCCTTGGAGTTTCTTGATATCAACGCAGGATGCAAGAGACTGATTCATAATGATTAATGATATATCCTATACATATATATATAATAGTAACCCCCAAATAGATAGAACAGTAATTTGTCACTCTTATTTTAGTGGGATTGTACTGTTCTATCTTTCTTGTGGGGTCACATTCTATGTTTATCATTACAAGTATTTTCTTAGTGATCGATCATTACCATAGTCCATATACCTGATCACCTCAGACATTCATGGAAGGGGAATTCTCCACATCGGTGGCTTCACTGTCCAATTCCGGGAACTTTGCATGGTCATTGTGTCACTGTCACGCCATTGAAACGGCTACACCGAAGTGACCCATTGGAACAGATCAAATTTTGTGCATTCGCTGGAAACTTCTGAGGCAAAAAGTCATGACGTTGACAGCAGGGCTGATGCCCACGCGCTTGAAGGACGGACAGCCAGCTGGTGGAAGCATCATTTCAACTGTTTTAACTCACGGAAAATTGATAGTTTCAAGTTCCAATTTCAGACGTCCATCATTCTTCCATCCCTAGTTTCAATGAATTTCATAGTTCATGCCTTTCATATTTGGGTGGCAGCTTAAAAACCATGCATCCGATCTTCTTTGCCGTGTTCCCTCCCTTGCTTAGATGCTCACTGCATATTTCCACAGGAGCTGTGTGCTCCAGCGACGACGTGTGTTAGCGCGATTCCGTTGCCGCCCGTTGCGAAGATCCTTGGGCGAACAAGATCAGAAGGTGATGAACCAAAGAGGTTGCAACTTGATCTATATAACCACGAAGCGTTAGTATAAGATAGTAATTATAGCCGCGCATACCGAGTATAATCCACAAAAAATTGGCGATGTATTGTGATATTGACTTTCACCACAATGGAGTATTCGCGGCCACATGATTGAGAAGGGATGACACATGATGAAACATGAAACGAAAAAGAGTGTACTAATACCCATAGGATCCATGGTGCTGCTATATATGGTATCATTTACCATCAATATACCCCAAATATCCCCAAATGTTAGCATATATACCAGCAGCATGGATCCGTCATGGGATATGGTGATTTGCAATTTTTGTTATCCCGATTTATCCCGATCCAGAGGCGAAGTTTTCCGAAGGCTCAGGATTCACCACAAATCTTCGGTGTCAACCAAGCCGCCATTTTGGCATCCCAACATGTCCCAACAATTTCAAATTCCCCAAACAGTGTGGTCAGGGTTAAGGCCCGGTGTTCATTAGGAGGTGGTCTCATCCGTGTCCGGCAAATTCCCTGTAATTCTCCGCAAAAAATGGCTCTTTTGACATGTCCATGTGCATTTTGACTGCGCGGGCTCGCACAAAACGGGTGTCGCGGTCCTGGGGCGTCCGGCATTTTCCCTGTGAATTTCTGTATAAGCCAGGAGACCTCTTATAGAGATCTTGCACAGAGACCTGGTGAAGAGAGCAGCGATCTTGCTTAGAGATCCTTTCTAGAGAGCTTGAACAGAGATCTTACTTTGAGATCCCTCTCGGAGATCTTCTGCGGCGATCTCTATACCACTGCAACGGCTCCGCAAAAAGGTCTTCCTGCTGTCACGGTCGCCTTTCTTTCTCTCTTTTTCACGTTCTTCTTCAAATCCTTACTCCACACTGTTTGGGGTCTCTTGCCGGGATAATCTTTTGGATACCCTCTGGTAATTTAGCATAACTATGGAAAATCACCATTTTTCATGGGAACATCGGCTATTTTTATGGTCATTTTCAATAGCTATTCACCTGCCTTTATTGGCTGCCTTTATGAACTTGACCACGGCGCGAAGGGCCAGTGGCCATCGCCGCCGTTTCTTCGAGGAGATCTGGTGCTACCTTGTTGACCCCTCGACTGCCGTGGGCAGAGGTGCTCTGAAAAAGGGATCATAACTCATCAATCATCGAATGCATGTCATAAATATATGAAATTATAATATATTATATTGTTTTTTTTTATTTATTAATTATTATTATATTACATTAGAACATTTTATATATTATATTATATTATATTAGATTATACTTTAAATTATATATTTTTATTTTTTATTTTGTTGTATAATATTATAAGATATATTATATTATATCACATCATATTGTATCATATTATATTACGTATAAATCATATCATATTATATCATATTATATTATATTATTGTAAATATATTATATTTCAATTTATTATACTATATTACATTATATTAAATTTCATTGTACATTATATTTCATTGTGCTATATATTATATAACATTACATTGTATTATATTATACTGTATTGTATTGTATTGTATTATATTTTATTGTATTATGTTATTGTATTAAATTGTATTGTATTATATTACATTATACTATATTACATTATATTATATTACATTATATTTCATTGTACTATATTATATTACATCACATTATATTGTATTATATTGTATTGTATTATATTATATGTGTTGGGAGGATGGGCGGCTCAACTACTAACCAAGTTTAGCCCTTATCTTCTGAAACTTGTGGAGATGCCTCTGAGAGTACCATCAGTGTCCCAGGATCCAGAATGCCATCGCTGGGTCAAATTGTCCGATCTGTCGACACAGTCTCTGAACATATTGACAAAACGCATCGTTTTGTCATTTATATAGCACGTTTCATGGTGAACTTCACCTATTTTATATCATTTTTAATGAATTTCATGGTGAATTCCACCTTTTCCCACCACAGCCGCGGTCTCCCATCCGCGTTTTCACCATTCAATTGGCCGCAAGGCCATGCTGAAAGTGTGTGGCTCCTGCGTGGTGGTCGAGACCGAGGCTGAGTTCAAAAGGCACCGGCACAGCGATGTTTTTTCCATGGGATATCCATCTGGATCCATAGGGAATTTTGAGGGTCAACCCATGGCTAATTTGGATGGGATTTAAGGATAATCAGACATGGCTGAGAAAATCCTCTATAAATATACCCGTACCCAACCATTACATAAACCAGATTTTTATGGAATGGTGGGGTAAGGAAAACCAATTCTGTTGGTTTCAACTTTGAATGTTTCGTATTAACATTCTCAATTCTTGACGTATTCACCAATCTTCGTAAGATCTCACATCGGCACACCATGTTTGATGAGGCGCCCATGATTGGTGTATCTCATGTGCACCCCGTGTACAGGCACGCACATACTAAATTAAATACCTATATTTGTACTGCGTTTCAGACAGTATCTCCTGCCAGCATCCCCAAAAAATATCATTACATATCCTCAACAAATCTGCTACAAGGTGGGGCCCCCCAGTTATAAGTTGGTTTATAAACCCCATTAACTAGTTCGTTATAAGTACCATAAACCATATAGTTATTGGAGTTATGTTCACCAACTTAGCTATCTTGGGGGCACCACCTTGTATAAGTTTCATGGGGCAGATATGATGGTTTTTGCCAAGTCGTCGCGAGGTTGCTGGTGGTCACCTGCATGATGGGTGACTTCTACAAGCGCCAGCTGACGGCACAGCAATGGCTCTGTTCCCATGGCATTTCTGAGGCGGACGGCGCGGGGATGCTGGGGGCGTAGACAAAACTGGGGGGTGTTGGCATTGATTTTCCATGATTTTCCATGATTTTCCCATGATTTTCCATGATTTTCCCATGATTTTCCATGATTTTCCATGATTTTCCATGATTTTCCCATGTTTTTCTTGATTATTTTTGCGCCCTCTGTTTTTCAAAGTAAACATCTGGGAGCCAGGAATCGTCGTTGGTGAACATCGCCCATATTTTTTTGTAAGTAGAAAATCGGCGCATCCCATCTTAAATGGATTAAGAAAGGCGTGGCATCCAAGTATTGGTTGCCCTCCTATCCAGATTGGTGAATTCAATCGACCTTGCCACAACGTCAGAAATTCATATCTAGATTATGGTTTGTTTACGGGGGACCAAGATCAAATGATTTAAATTTGATGAATTGATTCGCCACTCTTCAGTCTGACGAATTGCTAGCCTCTTGGTGGCTTTGAATCATGAATCTCTCATCATCTCAGGTGCGATGGTTCCTCATCAGCCAGATTCCACTTCTTATGAGTCAGGAGTTAGCAACCATGACCAATGCTCCATTAATTAATAGTTGTTGGTACTTCAGGCTTCTTCAGGCAAACATCATTCAGCTTTTCAAGGTTACGCATCATGTCATATCATGTCGTATCATATGTTTCCCCACAATTTGCCATTTCAAGTAGACATACATATTTCCATAGTTTTAAGATGTTGTCCGCAACCTTAACATGCGCCCAGACTCATCATTGTGACATAACAGAGACAATTCTGTGTTGTTGGGAAGTTGCGAATCCAAGCAAGGCCAAGGGGGAAAATTAGGCCACGGTGGCATGTGAAAGATACCTTGAATACAGTTATCTTCATGAGGAAACAATATCACCTGATCATCATGAGGGATCAAAATCCGCCACCCCCTATGACCAATATGCTGAACGGGCTAACAACACGCCACCCTCTATGGCCAATATGTTGAATCGGGTAATTACATCAACTTTATCTTCATGAGGGATCAAAATTAGCCACCCCTCTGTACAATACGTTGATTGCGGGACATCAACCGATGGCCAAACGTCCAGCTTGCAGCGAAGATGTTGTGAGGATCATCCATAGTCCAATCCATTTCCATAATTCCGAGCTAGTAACCATTACCCTCTGGTAATAGCTGACATAGCTATTGAAAATGGCCATAGAATAGTTGATTTACCCATTAAAAATGGTGATTTTCCATAGCTATGTTAGTTACCAGAGGGTATAATCCACCCAGATTATGAATAATGACCACTATGCACTTGGGATATATCAACAATCACGCGTTTTATCATTAAATTCAGTGGTAGCACGTGGTAGCACCCTCTGGGAATTTAGCATAGTTGTGGGAAACCAGCATTCTTAGTGGGTAAGTCATCTACACATGGGCCGTTTTCATCCATTTTTCATAGATACGTTGAATGGCGATCGAGGATATCTCCCATCATAAACCACGAGCGTCCTTATTCTACATCCGAGTCTATACCGTGAAAAAGCCTCTTGTCGCATTTTCAGATGGTATGTATATAATTATAATACTTATACATTAAAAATATATATATATATTTATACTATATATGTCATATAGTGCTTACATTGAGATATTTCCCAACCAGAGATAACCAGAGTATCTCCATTTTTTTATATGTCGAGTCCCTGCCAGGCTGATGCCGCCAGTTGGGTGTCTTCCACCTTCGCCACCTTTGCCGCAGACAGCTCAGGGGCGCAGGCCCTTTTGCTTCTTGGGATATAAACCAACCATAACCATGGATTCATCAAGAGAAATATATGTTTTTTTGACATTAAAAGGAGTTGAGGAACTAATGTATCAACAGAAAAATATTTTTTTTTGATATAAAAGGAGCTGAATAACTAGTATTCAATTTGGGTGTGTCGGAAAATGGGGTATGCCGCTTCCAAAGTGGCAATTTTCATACTGTTGCCTTGGGAGATACCCCTCTTGGGCTCTATCCGCTCTTGCGGCCAGGTGGATACCTTCCAGAAACTGGTGGAAGAACAGACACCGGGAGGACTCAACGAGATGGTCTGGTGCCCCAGGAGTGGTGCCCCAGTTTGGAATCGCTAAGTTGGTGAACAAGCTAAACTCCAATTAATTTCACTATAGCTTTTATGGTAGATATATATATATATATAATTACTATGGTTATCTATGATTTAAAAACCAACTGAGAACTGGGGGACACCACCTTGACTCTTCGATGCGAGGGTCACAATCCTGTTGTTTTCGTTGCCAGCATACCTTTGCCTTTGCAGAAACTTCAGGCAATTTTGTGGCAGCTGAAACTGTCAATGGCAGTACATGTTTTGCAGTGGGTTAGATGAAGGGAACGAATCTACGTCGTTTTCTATCGTTTTGACCATGTACCTTAGGGTGTTCCTTTCCCTGCATGCAATTCTGGGATTTTTTTCCTCTCCAGATTTTCGGGATGGAAGACCCCCCCAGCTTGAAGCACTGAAGGTTTGGAGAGCCCAAGAGGAAGATGGTTCGTACAAGTCCCTCGGTGGAAAACCTACGATTGGGTCAGCCGTCAACGTTGGGGATGGCATGTTGAATTTCATGTTTAAGAACCAGAGTGAGAAATCCTAAGTCTTACTATGTACACTATGTCAATGACTCGAACATGGGGATTCTTCCGATAAACATGGAGAATACCAATATCACCCTTAAAATTCAAATTGAACCTATAACATTGGGTCTGGAGTCTGGAAGATCTTCCCGACTTGGATAGCTGTCCCAGACGATTGCGAGGCAACACCCACCAAAAGCCAGCAACATCCATTCAATGAAGCCTCTAGTAACCAGTACCCTCCATTAATCCGATACAATTTCTGATGGGCCACTGCATCACCAGGTCCTTATGTTATTCTTTGGATGCGGTTGGAACCTCAGTTTTTAGGTCTTCGACCTGGACCCGATGTGCTGGCTTGGATTTGCACCCCAACAGCTGGTGAGAAAACCCGCAGGAGGGGTACAAATGCAAGCTTCTTGGAGTAAGTAGAATTATATCCCGGAATTCAATCTCTGGATGATTCTTTAGGTTTGCAGTCCGATGTCAAAGTCAGTCTATTCGAAAATCACATCTGGAACTCTGGGCAGGTTGGAGGGTTGAATTTCCCACTCGACCCATCCCTCAATGGCTATGGTTTTTACTAAATGAGTGACCAAATCAGCCATTTTTCCTCGATCAAAACACACGGTGATATCACCCATGGTGATATTCCCACCATATCCCCATTTATCCCCATTCACTTCATCATTTTTGACGAACAGGCCTGGCCCCAATCGACCCCCAAGGTAACTTGACACAGCCCCAATCCCCAGGCCAAGCAGATCCGATCCGACCATTAAATCTCCATTGATAAATGATTTTCCATATGATAAACCCCGTGTAACCGCACCAAATCCCCCAGTTGTTCATTGGTTCAATGCCCTCCATTTTCCAGCAAGCTACCGCCGCAAATGCAGGTGCACCACCGGCTGGTGTCGGGCGCCGCGGACCCTGCCTTAGCACCCGCAGCCAAGCGAGCCAAACTCGCATGAGCCGATGGCCGTTGGCGGAAAATGTTTCGATAGCAGCTGAGTCAACCTTTGTGAACGTCCTACAATTGGGGGAAGACTTGTGGCCAACCATCCTGCATATTTTGCGGCAAGGCTTTTATGAAATCTTGTGTGAGATGTGAAGTGGATTCATGTGTGCTTTCGCTTGAAGTCTGTATGCTCTGTGAATCTCTCTAGGAGAAGTTGTCCTTGTGTTGCATTGCGTTGTTCATGATTGCTCCTTGCTAGAGGAATGCTTGAACTGTGTGCATTTGTTGGTTGCAGTGCCTAGTTCCCCGACTTGTTCCCGATGATTTCTGCAATTGGCTTAATCTTTGCTGAATGTTTGCATGTAGAATTCAGCAAACTGAGACTTTTATGAGGACTTGCGTGACATGTGGGACGGATTCATATGTGCGAAGTCTGTATGTGTTGTGATCTGTGAAGAGCTGTCCTTAGTTGTACTTGTTGCATTGCGTTGTTCATGACTGCTCCTTGCTAGAGGAATGCTTGAACTGTGTGCATTTGTTGGTTGCAGTGCCTAGTTCCCCGACTTGTTCTCGATGATTTCTGCAATTGGCTTAATCTTTGCTGAATGTTTGCATGTAGAATTCAGCAAACTGAGACTGTTATGAGGACTTGCGTGACATGTGGGACGGATTTATGTGTGCGAAGTCTGTATGTTTGGTGTTTTTTTCTCGGAAGAGCTGTTCTTAGTTGTCCTTGTGTTGTATTGCATTAATCAACTTTTTCATTATTGCTCTTTGCTAGAGGAATGCTTGAACTGTGTGCATTTGTTGGTTGCAGTGCCTAGTTCCCGGACTAGTTCCCGATGATTTCTGCAATTTGCTTAATTAATCTTTGCTGAATGTTTGCATGTAAAATTCAGCAAACTGAGACTTTTATCGGATTCATGTGTGCGAAGTCTGTATGTTTTGTGATTCTTTTCTGGGAAGAGCTATCCTTAGTTGTACTTGTGTTGTATTGCATGAATCAAGTTTTTCATTGTTGCTCTTTTCTAGAGGAATGCTTGAACTGTGTGCATTTGTTGGTTGCAGTGCCTAGTTCCCAGACTAGTTCCCGATGATTTCTGCAGTTGGCTTAATCTTTGCATGTAGAATTCGGCAAACTGAGACTTTTATGAGGACCTGCATGACATGTAGGGCGGATTCATGTGTGCGAAGTCTGTATGTTTGGTGATTTTTCTCCGAAGAGCTATCCTTAGTTGTACTTGTGTTGTATTGCATGAATCAAGTTTTTCATTGTTGCTCCTTTCAAGAGGAATGCGTGAACTGTGTGCATTTGTTGGTTGCAGCGCCTAGTTCCCAGACTAGTTCCCGATGATTTCTGCAATTGGCTTAATCTTTGCTGAATGTTTGCATGTAGAATTTTGCAAACTGAGACTGTTATGAGGACTTGCATGACATGTGGGGCGGATTCATATGTGCGAAGTCTGTATGTTTTGTGATTTTTTCTGTGAAGCGCTATCCTTAGTTGTACTTGTGTTGTATTGCATGAATCAAGTTTTTTATTGTTGCTCTTTTCTAGAGGAATGCGTGAACTGTGTGCATTTGTTGGTTGCAGTGCCTAATTCCCGGACTAGTTCCCGATGATTTCTGCAATTGGCTTAATCTTTGCTGAATGTTTGCATGTAGAATTCAGCAAACTGAGACTTTTATCGGATTCATGTGTGCGAAGTCTGTATGTTTGGTGATTTTTTCTCGGAAGAGCTGTTCTTAGTTGTCCTTGTGTTGTATTGCATGAATCAAGTTTTTCATTGTTGCTCTTTTCTAGAGGAATGCGTGAACTGTGTGCATTTTCTGGTTGCAGTGCCTAGTTCCCGGACTAGTTCCCGATGATTTCTGCAATTGGCTTAATCTTTGCTGAATGTTTGTATGTAGAATTCAGCAAACTGAGACTTTTATGAGGACCTGCATGACATGTAGGGCGGATTCATGTGTGCGAAGTCTGTATGTTTGGTGATTTTTCTCGGAAGAGCTGTTCTTAGTTGTCCTTGTGTTGTATTGCATGAATCAAGTTTTTCATTGTTGCTCTTTTCTAGAGGAATGCGTGAACTGTGTGCATTTTCTGGTTGCAGGGCCTAGTTCCCAGACTAGTTCCCGATGATTTCTGCAATTGGCTTAATCTTTGCTGAATGTTTGCATGTAGAATTCAGCAAACTGAGACTTTTATGAGGACTTGCGTGACATGTGGGGCAGATTTATGTGTGCTTATGCTTCAGATTTGCGGGCATGTTTGTATGGACAGTTTGTATTTCTTAATGTGTGTCCTGGAAAAAGCAACTTTTTGTAGCCTTTTAATGTTGGACTACGATCCTTTTTTTGGCAGCTTACTGCATAGAGGTTGTGAATATTTACCACTCTGGTTGCCGTTGTCACCGTTGTCCATGTCACATCATTGTCGTCTCAAGAGGGGCCAGAAATGTCTGGTTTCTCAGGTGTTCTAAGTCATAGGTCTCCATTCTATTCGGGCACCATGCCATGGCTGGTGGCGTGTCTAGCCGTGGCCCACGTGGCCGTGGCCAATGCTGTGAGCCATGGGAAGCTCAGCTCACCGGATCTGGACGATGACGTGCCGAAGTTCGAAACCTTGGAATATGCGGTGGCCATCGGACCAGGGGGTGAGGCGGAGTTCAGGAGCCTGGAGACTTGGTCTGGGATGATTTGAGGTGAACACGGTGAACCTGATTCCCCCCATCATTTGTGACTGGTCACCTGGACAAGGCGATGCTCCCCCGAAGTGATGTTGGAAACCAAAGCCCAGAAAGGACTTCGAAATATCTACCATAAACCTTAGTTAACGACCATAGCTGCATAACCCAGTTAGAACACAGATTGATTAAGTAGTTAACGATAGTCAGAAAACCATAGTTGAGCGTTTTTAAGTAGATAGTCATTCAGGGTATGTTTCTGTTTGACCAAACATGAGGTTTATCATCCTTTTCTCCATGGACACCATCATTTCAGGGATATGTACTTCGTTTTTTGATGTTTTTTGGGCACGCCCAAATATCATACTGTTGCTTTATATTATCCCATTATATAATATTATATACCCAAATTTATCATGCTTGGCAGCAAATTCAAAAAACTCGTTGGCACCACCAATCCCATAGTTCTGTCCAAATCCCTCTCCGAGGAAGCCCAAAATCTCCAACAGATCATGCCCCACGAGTGGGACCCCATGTTCAGCCCGGTCCCGTTGCTGCGGAACGAGCAGCGGGATCCAGATGGCACGGCAGCAGTGGATGAACAAGCAGATGTGGAAGATGATGAGGGAACCTCTGAAGCTACCGAAACTGGACTTTGGAAGAGAAAACTGCTGGGATTTCAAGGGTCTGATGATTTGTAAGTGTATGGTTCATGCAGTTCATGCTTTGGGATGAACCCATGTGGTGGATTGTGGTGGCATGTTTAAAATCTAAGTCAATTGTGAAGTGCAGAAGGTTTTTGCCATGAAGAACTCGCATCATTTTCGAGAAACTTTAACGTGGACAGCAGCCACGGAAGTTTCTCGGCGACGTTCCTGCCGTTCTTGATGGATCTATGATCAGCTAGATTCAGCTAGATGAATTGTACATTCCCATCACCTTTACCCTTTGCCTGTGCCCAGAAACCTGCTGGCTCTTTTTTCAGGAATCAGTGTAAGCGACTGTGCTCACAGCCAGTAATTGATGACACTCACGGGTTGAATTTCAAAGAACAATTTCCTGGAAACTTTGCTTTTACCATCCGACTAGAGGTTCCTGTAAATTTTTGGCCGAACTCGTCCAATACCTGGGCTACGGGGGAAGATGATCGGAAGTGACTTGCAGCTGAATGATTTCTGGCCCCCAATATATAGAGGCCTCCTGCTTTTTAATCAATGTTTTTACACCCAAATCTAGTCCCTTTCCATGATAATTAAATACCCCCCCAACGAAACCTTACAGCTTAGTGTTGGATCTCATATGAGAGAATCATAACCAAGTTTCTCGGGGAAGGGAGAATTGGATTTTCCATCAATTCAAAGGACATGTTCCTTTGAAATCAGGGTTTCTGTTTTGAAACAACACCTGGTTTACCCAAATTTCATAGTTTTGTCCTCCATTTTTGGTCCATAAGATTCCATTCACCCAAGGATTCGAGTGTCTCCAACAGCAGCTTTTCCTTCACCTTTCGTCAACACGTCAGTGGTTCCACGCCCATCGGTGCCCTGGGAATGGGGACGCCCTCCATAGCGCTGAACATGATCCTGGACACCGGCAGTGATAAGTTCGTCGCCAAGACCTGGGCCACCATCAAGGCGGAGTTGGATAAGATCCTTGGAAGATCTAGAGATCTCTATTTGTGGTACCTTTTCAAGGGTATAAGATGGGGTGATTAGATGCAATATGAAGTCATTAAAATGTATATCCTTGATTATCATTGTTGTGTTTGAAGAAGATTATTGGTTACATATCGTATAGGATCCTTCGGAAGATATGTGCGAACAACACCCCAGTGAGAAGAGGGAAACTATATAATCAGGTAAGAAATATTGGCATTGAATGGTAAACCAAGTATGTCTTTAAACTACTCCTTCTTATGATAAAAATGGGGTTGGTTTATTACATGTTTGCTATGGCTTTCTGGTTGTAATATTCTTATCATGCTGGAGAAGATTCTTGGTGTTTTTGAGTCATGGTCGTTGATACGCATTTTGTAATTTGTAACTCGCCAAAAGCTGGATTTGACAAGCATAAAGGGGTGTCAACAATGAATTTCGTTGGTGGTTTCAAAGTTGGAGGTTTCACAAACTCTATGTACAGTTTTACCCTCTGGTAATTTAACATAGCTATTGAAAATGGCCCATTTATAGGTGATTTACCTACTATAGATGGTGATTTTCCATAGCTATGTTAAATTACCAGAGGGTACATGATGTGAAAACGGGGGTCAAAAAAGGGCTCTTGATCAGAGAAACATCCGTGCAGAATCCAGAACTGGGGGCATCCCAGGATTGATGCAGGAGCTTCGGACGAAGTCTTCCCAGGCTGGATGGGACCATACATCCTGGGTTGAGCTCTGAATCTTTTTGTGGGTCGGTCATACCGGACTTTTCTGCCAAAAATAATGGCATTAGTTGGTGACCATCCCCCCAATTCATGAGTATATCATCCAACTTTTACTGAACCAATTGGTGATATATGGCATGAATTACCCGTGGTATATTCTATTGAAATTCACATAAATTCACAATTCTTCATGGTAACATTTAAGTAACCCAATGTTGTTCACCATTTTTCATGGTGAATATCCCCACAAAATCACGACTTTCGGGATCAGTCAGGTGCCAAGATCTACAACCACAACGCCTCCAAGTCTTACGTCCAGCTCTATGCCTCTCAGAACGGGAGCAAAGTGCCGCGACAGGCCGGACCAGGTCTTGGAAATATGAACAAACATCATCGCACCAGGTATTATACATATGTATATACGTATATATATATATAGATATCATAGCTCTGCAATAAGACCCAACAACACTATAATTTTCATGGTAAATTTCATGATCTGTATCAAATTGATGTTATATGGAATGTCAAAAATTCCAATCGGAAGATCCATACGAAATTTACCATGAAAATTATATATCCCATAGGATCCATGGTGCTGCCATATATGGTAACATGGATCCCATCAATATACCCCAGTCATGTTAGCATATATACCAGCACCATGGATCCTATGCGTATGATTATTTCATATCGGATAGTAATGAAAATCCATATGAAGATCCTATGGCAGTGGCATCAGCGCCTGAGGGCTTCATCGCCTATGGCAGTGGCATGGCCATCACCTTGGAAGGACGAGAAACCATTCGCATCGGAGATGATGAGAAGTTCGTGCCGCGGCGACGTTTTAAAGGGGCCAACGACATGGGGGGAAATGAATAGTGAACATACCCTCTGGTTATGACTAACATAGCTATGGAAAGATCCACCATGCTATTAATGGGAAAATCCACTATTTCTATGGTCATTTTCAATAGCGAACTGTTAAATTACCAGAGGGTAGTAAGATGGAATAGCAAAGTGAAAACTGATCTACAATTTGCTGTTTTTTTTAAATCCATATATTGAGATTAGTTGACGTTGGTGAAGGTATTGATATGGTCAGCATTAATGGAGCCAACTGAATCCTGAAGCGAAGGGAGATGCTGTGAGGTGAGTATGCAGAAGTTCCCCATCTCGGAGATCTCATTGGATTCGCTTCAGATCCTACATTCCTCCAAGGGAATCTCCGGCATATTGGGGCTGCAGCACATGATGAATCTGAGCTGATGGATTATTGGTTGGTTTCTTGAGGTTTATACCCAACCTGGTTATGACTAACATAGCCATGGTATAGATGGCCCTAATCGAAATAGATGGCTTACCTATTAAAAATGGGTGGATCTTTCCATTGCTATGTTAGTTCACCAGAGGGTATATTTCTTTTTGTTTTTCCAAGCCTGGACTTGGGTTTTTGAGTTTCCAGTGGGACAACCAGTGGGACAACCATGGACAAGTCCCTCATTGGATGATCGCTGCCAGATTCGGAGCCTGCAATGTGCCCCAGGTAAAAAATAAGTTGGTTTATTTTACGTAACCTATCTATAGAACTATATGATATTATATGAAACTGTAATATTGCATATACTCTAATATAATATTCGAGTTAGAACTGTATCTAATAGTTAATTATATGATATTATATGCCTATCTAACTGTATTATACTATATATCTGGATATATCCGTCATTCACCATAGTAACCCTAGTTATTACAACCAGCAAACCCTACTATCTGTGGTCACAAAATCCAGATGGTGAAATGGGTTTTCAATCTCTGAACTGGGATCCGCGTTGTAAGGAATCGATCTTTAGGGCAATCCTTCTACTCGGTGCTCAGAGACAAAGCGGTGCTGCATTCCTTCGGCTACTGCCGTGGCAAAAACAACGACGGTACCTCAGCAAGATCTCGCTGTGGTGATTACCAGCACCTGGGGTAGTTCTATGTGTGTATAGTCATGGGGACGTAAGCATCCCATGGTAGATTCAACACCAAGTTTGGAAGATTCACAACTCTACCTGTTTGGGGAGAAAAAACCTCAAAACATAATATGGCTTTGCAACCGGCTTTGCCAGAGTACGTTTGCAGTAAATGTGAGGTACATTGGAGGGTACAGGAACTGGGTCGATTTTTGCAAGAATGTTTTTGCAACAAGAAAACCTAAGTTATCCTAAGTTTCTACAGTTCATGAGTTCAACCTTATGAATCTAGAGGCAGCTGGGAGTGTTGCCATGAATCCGCCGAATCCACTTGGTTTGCCCAACGGCTGCAGGTTTCTTCATTTGGGGCGACCAGTTGCGAGCTCAGAAAGCAGCCCACGCTTGTGCTCAACAAATCGGTTACGGTTACAGTTACGGTGTAGAAATGCAAGACTTTGATTTTGTTGGGGGTTGGGGCACCTAGTATTGACGCAAACAATTTTTGGAGTTTTGGTGACCCGTGCACTCCATGAATGAATCTGAATGATGAATCATTCAGATCTTCATGATCATGGGAATATGGATCTTGTATGGTAGCCATATCCTTGTGCGGGATAGTTCAATTTAAGTTGGCTTCCCAATATGGTTAAGCATGGCAACCCAGAGCAACAATCCTTGCATGGAATAGTTCCCAGTTCCCAATATCATTTCCCGATGGGTTTCTCTGAAAACAGGCTAGTAGCCCTAAATCCATCCATCCCCATCCCCATCCATCCTCTAAATCCATTGGTTAGTCACACGTTTCACATCGTTTCACTGTTAAGATATTCCATTTTTAGACAAAGCCAAAAAGGGGGGCCAGTTTGGAACCAATGCGGCCGCAGCACCTGTCAATCCCATTGGGATCCAACGGATTTCAGGTTCAAGGACGGCAAAGCGGTGAATGTGCTGGGCCAAATGCATTGGGCGGTGAAGTTGAAGAACATGCACGTGCAGAAGAAGAGGCTACTGTGTATTTGTGGGGTACTTTGGGTATGGCACAGTTTGGGTATGCCACGCAGATTTGGTGAAATCATGGGCATTCCAGTTCTCATGCTGCATGTGTCATACTTCGGAGTGCCTACTGTTCTCTGGGCCATGTAAATCCCTCATTTCTGAAAGGTGACACCAGCATTTTGCATCATGTTGCTAGTCACTATATATATAATTATATATATATATTATAAACATGTAACTTAGTAACTATATGTAACTAACTATACTAGTAACTATATATATATATATACACATTTGTATATACATACATTTGTATATGTAACTTACGTAACTATGTTTTTTTTTCTTTTCCTGAGCGTTCCGGCTGACGTGGTTTTTCGAGGCCCCAAGCCTCCCTGATGGAACGCTTTGACGCTCGCATCAGCGACGCGGAGGATCCTCGGTGTTTGGATGTGGGTCAAAATGGAAGACCTAGGGGACCACAGATGGAAATGTCTAGTTTAGTATTAACCATCCATAATTTTGGGGTACCTAATTTTGACCCATACCCAAATGTCCCCATTTTTCACATCACCCAACCATGAATGGTATATGGTCTTTTTTATGGCTACTTTTTCAGGTGATGTCCTTCATATTCCCAAAATGGGACAGGCAAACCAACCCCTGAAGGAAACCACCCCAAAAAAACTGATCTGAAGTTCACTGATGATTCAATATCCATCACCAAAGCTAGCTAGAAACGATGAATTGTGCATAGCCTTCCGGAAACGATGTGTAACACCATCAAAATTTGAGATCCAGAGTGAATAATCCATCTCGCGGCTACCTTTTCTTTTTCAACTGATGTGATGGTTTCCAAAAATGAGCTGATGATCTGTTTGATGACCATGCCATGCGCCATCATGCGCCTAATTTTTCGCAGCAGTTTGCCAAGTTCAAGAAACGGAAACACTTGAAGTCAGAGAGTAGCATTGCAATGCCAGAAACGCTGAAAAGAACGGAAAGGATCCCCTACTCCATTTACCTACGGCACAGCTGCACCAGCGGGAGGGGTTGCCAAGGACTCCTTGCTGGAAGAAGAAGCTCAGGCTTCCAAGAATTCATGGCTGGGAAAATCATCTATAAATGGGGAATTTTCCAGCACACCATGTTTGATTAGCGGACCGGTATACATTGGGGATTCTCGGCTCCAACACTGTTCTTCCTGAAGTTTGGAGCTCGAGGTCCTTTGACCTTTTGAGGCATACTTAATCCTAAACGCGGGATACGTTTCATCGAGACCCCCCGGCCCATCGAAATTTTTATCAAGGCGCAAAGAAACCATTTTTGCACCCAAAATAGATGTGTGTCTCTACAAAACTGGGGCACACAAACCGATGGTTTAAGCTTCATTTCTGCACACATTTCCATTCGTCTTTCAACGGCCATATGGCCATATGTCCCTGGCCAGTGGTTCCAATCCTCTCACGTCAGACATATCATCTCCAGGGAAAAAGCCACCCAGTTGGGGAAGCCAACATTGGAGCAGACCAAAACTTGGGTCGACTATTTATGGCAAAACAATTCCGTAATTAAATAGTTTATTTACCCTCTGGTTATTCAACATAGCCATGGAACATGGCCCAAAGAAATAGATGGTTTGCCTATTAAAACTGATTTTCATGGATTTTCTATAGCTACGTTAGTCATAACCAGAGGGTAATATCTAATTATATCATTTATCATTTCCATTAATTGTCGTTGGTCAAAAGTCCCCATCTAAATGTAATCATTGTGTTCCCATGATTTCCAGAGATATTATCACTATATTACATTGATATGCAGATTGATGTGGTCAGATCCCTGTGATAATATGCCATACGTAGATATATGTCTAAATATCTAATATCTAATATCTAGTCTATATCTCTATCTCTATCTCTATCTCTATCTCTATCTCTGCCTGTCTGTCTGTCTGTCTGTCTATCTATCTATCTATCTCTCTCTCTCTATATATATATATATTGCCATATATTCTGATAGTCTACCCAGCTGCAACCACCAATGTAACCATTAGACTTCGAGTATATTCTTACGAACCATTGGATGCCCAATTCCAATTTTCTGGAAAAATGATGCTTGTGACCAAATCGTGGATCACCTAAGTGATCTAAAACGATCTAAGTCCGCCAGAACCACACGGCCTTGAAGTTCCACCTCTGCCGTAAGAGTTCCTGCGTGGCGGTCATCGACACTGGTTCCAACATCATCGCCATGCCCAATGAGGCGGTTAGGACTCGCGGACTCGCCGGGCTGGGGCCCAGTTTGCGTTTTTTGGTCTTTTTTCGGTGACTACCAGAGGACTTTAAAGATGGGATTTCGACGAGTTTCCCAATTTGGAATCTTTGGATCTCAGGCATCAAAGGACGATTACGCAATCACCCGGGCAAACCTTTGAGCACTTGTGATTTTTCGCATGACAATCATCCATGGCTGGAGAAACTTGAAACCTCGGCCATTTCACAATTTCTGGGACCATCCAAAATAGAAGTGGATCTTGTTATATATGTAGGTCTCAGTTCCTGGAGCTTTGAGATATGCCTTTTTTTAACAAACCCTCTACGTGACACTCTGAATTCGAACTGCGAAAACTGTGGTCGGATCTGAGCTGTGGTCGGATCTGACTATATTTGACCTAGTGATTCTCTACATGAAGGGGGTTCCGGAGTAGGGAACCCCCAAATTGAAGAGTCATCAGCCGTGTCCCAAGCTCTCAGGAGCCTGTCGAAGATGTTGGACGTCCAAACAGATTGTTCCAACTTGGCACAACTTCCCAACCTCCACTTTGTGTCGGCGCCTCAGACTGGAGCTTGCCTGCTAGCAGGATCAGTCTTCACAGTTTTACTATGTTTTACCTTAAGTGTCACCATCTCGCACCGCAACTTGAGCTCAGCTGAGGTTGGGTGAGGACATGCACATTTCCTTACCTCCCTCTGCCTACATCATGAAGGTCAAGCTGCCACGCCTCAAGGAGGAGCCCAAACCCGACGCCGAGGCCGGAAGCGGCGAGTTCCGCGACGGCGCGCAGCTGGCGGAGACGGAGATGGGGTCGGAGAGGCGAAGCATCTACCAGGCCCAGGTGGAGTCCTTCTTGGAGGACGGGTCCAGGTCAAAATCGACCAGGTTTCCATGTTTGCCCACAAAACATGACGGGAAGGTCTTGGATATTTCCCTTAAAATTGTCATTTCAACACGGAAAAACACGGCTTGGGGGTGCAGTTCTAAGTTATAAGTCAATCTCAAACATATTTACAAAAATTTATAAGCATATTCAATCCACAATAGAACATAAATCAGGGCCCCAAAGAATCCCCAAACAATGACCTCAGCAACCAATCCATCACCGAGGACACCTACCGGGAGCATGGTCTGGATCTGCGGGCGGTGTTGCAGGTGGATCTTGTGCAGGTCTTGAGGAATTCCTCCACCCTGTGCCCTGGTGGCCCTGCAGGGTGGCGCGGGTGTTGTTTTTGGCGCCCAAAAAAAGGATGTCTTGAAGATTCTTGAAGAATCACCAATTTTATGGATGGTTTACTATGGTTTACCTCAGAACATCTTGCTTTTTTTTTTTAACCATTTTCATGGTGTAAAACCAACTCTGATCAACTTTGTACCCAAATTTCCACCACCATCTCCCTGTCATTGGGGCGGTAAAAATCCCTCGATCCAATCTCAGTGGCCTCGGAGACTGCGATTTCAGCTTTATCAGAAATGGACTCATCTGCGATTTTTCCAAACTATCCTGATTTTTGGACATCAGAAATCACCAGATTCGGTCCTTTGAATCTACTGAATTTACTGGTTTCGACTGGTTTGATCGATTTTGAGCCAGACTCTTGAACCCAAATGCTGGAGATTTCTTCGTTGCTGAGGTGTATGCCAGCCATCGTTCCCTTAGATCGTGAAACTCAGAAGGGCACTCTATTGGTGGAGTGCCCGGCATGTGCGATCAAGCAGACATCGGTCCTTGGTGGGTTGGAACGTTTGACAAAAGGAATCTGGAATCATTTGATATTCTCAACGCGAGTTGAGGAGGCAAACCTCTCAGTATTTGAGATTTCTTTGGCCTACCATTGTTGACCATTTGCTTGCGCAGCATGCAATATGTCCTTGGAACTAACTATGGGCTGATTTTGGAGGGGTTTGATTAGGTTGATTCCCAATCTGAAGGGGTCCCAGTCTTAGCTTTGATCATTCTATCCCAGACTTCACAGCTTTTACTTGGCACGGTGAACTTCAGTTTTGCAGTACAGTTAGACTTCACAAAACCAGGGGCCGCAACGGTCACATTGACAGAGTTTCATGTGCCCATCATCCAAGCTGTTCAGTACATGGAATGGATGGTCACCAACCCAGAAGCATGTGTTTATGTTTATGGAATCGGGTATATTCTATAGTAACGGTATGATGTACAATGACTTCCAAATCATTGGTTACTGCATGATTCATAGCATTCCATTTGCCACAGTGCTTGTTCATCGTAGCAGCCCTCAAAAAGATAGGAACATATATACACTTCTCCCAAAATAATGAACATTATAACTAAATAACCTGTTCATACCCTTTCTATTTCTACGGGAGGGGCCACATTGATTACTGTTCATTTGATGAGGTATTCAGCACGGTATACACCTTCCTGTGTCAGGGTCGACACGGTCAACATGCCAGGTGGGAGGTCCACTCTTTGAGAAGTGCTCCGACGGGTGAGGGGAAAATCAGCAACTTCCTTGGAAGATCTCATTTGATTTTATCAGCTTTTATGCCTAATTACTTCTATAATGTCCTATTGGTATCATGATTTTCTGGAGTGCTTCTATGAGTTTGCCAGCGCTGTTGGACTCATGCTTCCCCATGGGCACATTTTTATCCAGACCTCGATGGCTCGATGGGCAGGTACTATACCCGATGGGCTTGGCCAAAGGGCAAGATGCCTCAGATCTATCTAAAGCATCTCCATAAGGCAGAGGCCTGTTTGGTGAAGGAGCCGCAATGGCACAAAATGGCGGGGAGAAGTCGGCAGAATGGATGAGAATGGATGAGAATGGATAAGAATGGATGGATGAGAAAGGGTGGATCCACATAGCACTAGCGGGACTAGCGGGTCATTTTAGTCTTCAGTTCTTTGGTGATTCGGAAAGAGGCTTGGTTTTTCTCCATCTGCAACTGGTTCCCGAAACCACCCAGGAGGTCGACAGCGACGGCTCGAGCAATCCGGCGCCGAAGATGACGGTCTGGCGCGCCCACGATGGCCACGATGGACGCATGATCCGTGGGGGGCCTCAGTGAACTGATGGTGAAACAGAAGATGGCACTGCCATGAGGGTAACGTGTTTAGATATGATTGGATATGAAAATCCTGGAAAAACGGGTCTGAAACTCAGGTTAGTTGCTAAAACCCAACTTGCGGTCGAACTTGAAGTTATTTCTTTCTGATGATTCTAATGATTGGAGATCGGATCAGATCGGATCTATCTGTATCCACGACTATACCGTTGCACCTTCGATCCACAGTGACTCTTTCTTTTTCACCGAAAAAACAATCTCATTCTATGTGAATCATCTCTATCCCATCTCATGAAAATCACCATTTTTACTAGGTAAATCAACTATAAATGGACCATTTTCCATAGCTATGTTAAATTACCAGAGGGTACACTAGTTGGTTGATAGGTTTTGCTATGCCTTAGTTCATCATCCCATCAGAATCCCTCTGTAACCCTTAAGTGGTATACCCTCTGGTAAGCTAAAATACCATAACTATGGAAAATCACCACTTTTAGTAGGTCAACGAACTAATGTAGGGCCATGTTCAAGTTCGCAAACTGTGAGTTTAGAGGGTAACTTTCATAATCCCATCAGAATCCCAATTTTCCCAATAATCCAAGTAGTATAATCCCAAAAACAGTATATAGTATAACTACCTTTTTGATGACCAATCAACTGTGTAGATAGACTATACCATCTACCATCGGGCCGCGAGGTGCTGAGAAGGTCAAGCCGCACCATCACGGCGCCAGCCACCCGGCGGAGTTGAACGAGAACAACGCAGAGACGAGGCGACAAATGGTTGGCTCGGGATCTTTAGGCTCGTTTTGAGGCAGACAAAATACACCTCATGATTTATGGTTAATTACCAGTAGTACCGCGCAAGGCGGTGGCGGAAGTTTCAAAAATAGGAAACCTATAGGACCTATATAGGAGAGGTTGGTTGTTGTGAGTCACGGATGGCAGAGCGAAGCCACTGATGGACCGACAGGTGGTTGAGGTCTCTTCTCTTACTCTCTCTTTCTCTCTCTTTCTCTCTCTTTCTCTCTCTTTCTCTCTCTTTCTCTCTCTTTCTGTCTCTTTCTCTGACTATCTACCTACCTACCCACCTATCTATCTATGTATCCATCTATCTCTCTCTCTCTCTCTCTGTCTGTCTGTCTATCTAGCTAGCTAGCTAGCTATCTAGCAATCGATCGATCGATCTATCTTTCTTTCTTTCTTTCTTTCTTTCTTATCTATCTATCTATCTATCTATCTGCAAGCTTGCAAACGAAGCTATTCTGCGAGACTTCCTCAGTTTTTAAAACTTGACAACAACAAAAACGCAGCAATTCAGCTAGACTTCCTCAATTTTTGCACTTGACAACATCAAAAACGAAGCAATTCTGCGTCTTTCCTTTTTTTTAAAGTTGCCAACATCAAAAACGAAGCAATTCTGCGAGACGTCCTTCAAAAATGGAAAGTTGAGTGCAGAGCTGATGGCCTCGTACCAATGCCTTTTGCGATTTTTCCAGTCCATCTGTCTAAACTACTGCGCCTGCCACGAAAAAGTGATGCCAGGTCATACAAGTGCTGCACCTGTCACGCAAAATCATCTCAGCAAACTTGAAAATCTGAGGCTCCAAAAATGCAACCCTCTCAGGAAATCAGCGCCCGGACCTCCTAACAGTTCTGATGAACATGTCTCTTGTACTGCGCCTGCCACGGAAAATGCATCTTTGCAGATCCTGTTCGAATGTCCCACGCCTGCCATCGTTTCTGGAAATGCTACAAAACTTTCACGTTTTGCTCACTTCTGACAAGGTCCACAATCCCTTGCGCCTGCCACGCGGAACGACATCTGAACGTCCAAAAGTGGCTCGAGCATGGGGTGGTTTTAACATTTTGACTTCGAAATACGCTTCGCGCCACAACGGCGTGCACTTTTTCGACATCTCAACTTCTAAAAGTGGTCCGGAGCTGGTGTGTTTTGTGCATTTTGACTTGGAAACGTGCTTCGCGGTGCTTCGCGCCACAACTGCAATTTTTCATCTCTCATCTGGCCAGATGGCTCCGCACCCGCCGCTTTAGCGAGCCTACTTTTCGACCCTGCGGAGCCACAAATCATTGGAAAAACTCAGTGTTTCGCGACTTTCCTACCTTTTCGCGCACCTGCATCTTCTTTCTTCTGACTCTTTCTCTTCTCTGATCTTCTCTCTTCTGCTCTTCTCTCCTCTATTCTTCTGCTCCACCTCTGCTTTTCAGCTGTCCATATTGTCGGAAGTTTGACTTCTAAACTTCCTTCGGTAAATATTTATATGATAAGTGCGTATCAACATATGATAATATATGTACTAATAACATTGAACTAACTAAAGTCCTTGATTTTGGAATTTCCCATCACTTTGCTGGCAGTGTGGAGGCAGGGGATTTTTGGGTCGTCGTGGTCTCAGAGTTTTCTCACGTGCTGGTTCGCTTCGCCCGGAGGGAGTTCCTAAGCGTCAGATTCTGCCGCTTCAAACACCTGATTCCATACGGTGGATGGTTGCGAAATCCACCAGTTACTAGGTGGTAAACATCCCATTATAGGGTTTCAACCATCCTTTTGGTGCAGGATTTCGCAACCATCCACAGTAGGTTTGCAAGATTGGCCAGGCTTCGGGAGATGACCTTGGATGAGATCCGGTCCCTTGGGCCTTTGCTTTATCCGAAGGTATAGTTACGGTAGTTACCAGTGGAATGTAATATAGAGAGATGTAGATATAGATAGATAGATAGATAGATAGATAGGTAGATAGATAGATAGATAGACAGGTAGATAGATAGATAGATAGATAGATAGATAGATAGATATTTAGATAGATATATCTATATATATATATGTATATAGGTATATGTATATATAGGTATATACAAATAGGTGCATATGTATATATAGGTATATATGTAGGTATATATATATATATAGGTATAGATATATTTTCATATAGGTATTTAAATGTAGGTGTATATATATATATACATGTACAGTGGAATTCACCAAAAATCATACTATGATAGTTGGTTAAAGTTGAATGGGTCAACATATGAATAGTCGAATGTAAGGCGTCAAAATAAGCGGTATACCATTTTTGGAATGTAAATTCACATTTTTCGCTGCATGTATAGTTGATATAACACATGACTATAGTGATTGTAAACTTTGTAATTGTATTTAAACCAAGAAACATGTGGAATGATCGTTGGTTTAGGAGAGGTTGGTGAACATAGTTGCTAAAGCTAAGGCATATGGTAGATAAATGGAAATGGGTACTATGCTTGAAAAACAACAGAGAATTGGGGAGCATCATCTTGTATGAACCAATGATTGCCATAGAAGTGGCAGGCACGCGTAGGTCGAGAATCATTTGTATGTGTTGTAAACATATATCCTATTTGAAGCAAATTATAGGTGCAAGAGTACAAAAGTACAATAAATCCGATTCAGGACAAGTTAGCAAAGAGCTAGGGACAATTGGATAGGGATCATGATTCTTCATATTAACTTGATAGGTCGAAAAAACACTTGCATAGATGGGTCAACATTTGAGGCCTGCACACTCCATATAGATTTCGGGTCATTTCTAGGAGGGAACCACCACAATCATGTCATGAGAGGCTAGGTTTTGAGCCATGGAACCCGTTGGCGCGTTGAAGGTCCCAATTTCCGAATCAGAAACCAAAAGTGAAAACCGTTTCATCACTGGAAATTAAACATCATTTTTGCAGTTCTTTGAGTTTATCATTTCTATATGCACACCCTTCCCCCCTCAATATTGATGGCATTTGAACCCACTCGGTTGCTGTGAGTCTTGAGTTCCCTCACGAGATATCTCGAGGTATCCGCACTGGGCGAAAGACCTTGAAGATCTTTGAGCAACCGAAAAGCTGTGCTTGGCGTTGCCATAGCCACATGGGCACCAGTTTTTGAACTCTTTTCTTTGGGAGGGCAGTTCTATAAATCAGCATGTTCCTTCATGTTTATTGAGCAGTGTTTCTTTGAATTGCCAGCCACTCATGGCATCTTTTTCGCCCGACAATCATGTGGATCGAACATCAAAGAATTGCGGGACTTCGAGGATAACTTGACCATTGGAAGTGGGTTTGAGCATGAATTTTATTTTTCCATATATTGGGAATGCCATCATCCCAACTGATTTGACTAATTTTTTTCAGAGGGGTAGGTATACCACCCACCAGATTGTGTTTTGGTGGAACTTTGAATGGCGACGCCCACTCTTCCCCCGTTGGTCCCTTGGATGAAGCCCCTGTTTTTGTGGTTCCAGGGATTCCTTTCGTACGGAAAAATACGGTATCTTGGACCCCACATTTTGAACATCAGGAAGACTACAGCATGCAACCCCAAAAAAATCTCCAAAAGGTGGTCCTCAAGCTTTTCTTCCCATAGTTTCAGGGGGTCAGAATTTGGGGCTGTGATCAGCTCCTGGGTTTTCCGCTGCATTGCCGGAGTTTTTCGCAAAGAAATCCATCAGAACTTGCAGCAGGTCAGCAGTCACCTTTGAAACACACCCGGCCACCTTTGAGGGCCAAATAAGTTTATCCTAGCAACGGAGAACCAACTTGTTTGGAAACACTCAGCAATACTAATGTTACTAAGAGACACTCACTAATCACTAAGTCTATAAATTCTGAAGAATAACTCCATGATGAATTGTTTCTTTCAGACTCTTTCGACTTGGAGAATTTCACCAAATCTTTCCATCCCTTCACCGCACTGGCACCGCACTAGCAACCTCCCGGCCCGTCATGTCGCCAATCACGCAGTCGGCTGGAACGGGCTTGGGCATTGTGGGTAGCTTGGCTCAGCAACCAAAGACCTCCATGGGAACGGATATGAACATCCCTCAACATCCTACAACTGTATATGTATATACAACCATGGCATTTCACATGGCACCGATTATTTTCCATTGGATTTGGCAACCTGTTGATTTTAATTTTGAATTTTGGATGAAGTGATTAACCATGATCATTAGATATTAGTCATGGACTTTTTAAATCTTATTATTAACCAATATCAACCGTAATTATACAACCATGATGAACCATGATGAACCATTATCAACCATTGTCAACAATTCTCAATATTAGGCATTCCTCCTGGAAATGATGAGTCAATCTGTGCGCCTATGACGAGGCGATGGAAAGGGCTGGTCGGGCGGCAGTACGCGGCCAGATGGTGAGGCCAACCGGCCTTGGACCATGGATTGAAAGGAGATTTCACCAACAAAAACGGTCAGGCTGGCCGCCCAACCATGGGTAAAATCTGGGTAAAATCATGTGGGGCATGGCATGTGACCTCCATGTTTTTTCCCAAAACAAGAAAATTCCCCGAAAAAAGTTGGGCTGTTGGGAGAAACCCTGGGTTGAACCCCCCAAATCATGAAAGTTATTGGTCATTTTACCCAAAGACAAACCAATGGCGACAAGGGAGTACCTATGAGTACCTGAATTTAGAGGAACTCGAGCGATTTATTAAAATGGGGCTGGCTCAAAGTGACAAACGTGGCAATTCTTGCGGATCAATTAGTACCTCGGTCTTGAGCCATAGACATTGTGTATATGATCCCAGATATGCATCTTTCGGGCCAGCAGCTCATCAGGTCTTGATTTTTCTATATTTTGCTGTGGGTCTGAAATTTCGGGAACACCCCCAAATCTCATGGTAGAGACAAGCATTCCTTAAAAATCCATGGCCCATCACTTGGGCCCCCTACACCGTGGTGGCCGCCAGTCATGTTCGTTGGTTTCTAAACAACATTAAGTGTATATGGGGGTTTCCATACATGTGGGTACCCCAAAATAGATGCTTTATAATGGAAAATCCCAATCTAACATGGATGAGAACTGGGGGTACCCCCATTTCAGGAAACTTCCATATATATATATATACGATAATATATATAATATAATATATGTATATATCATATCATATACCATGATATACCACTAAATTTGGCGATCGTTTGGGACCCCACTTCAAGTGTAGATTGGATTGTCACGGCCTGTCGATAGGCCAATCAGCCACAGAGCATCAAGGAGAAACGTCCCAAGGTCTTTTTGGAGGCTCCAATTGGAGCGTGGATGGGCCAGCGAAATCTGAATCACCAGTTGAAAACAGTGGTTTATATATCCCACATTGTTTATAGGGTTGAAAAACCCATCCAAAATTGGTGATGCAGGATTTCGCTGGCCCATCCACGGGATGGAGATGGGTCAAAAGGTCAAAGTATATGGATTAAAGTTATCTAACTAAGCATCAAGTGTGGGAATTGAGCATGATTTGACCATATTTAACCATCAAACATGGGGATAGAATCTATAGACGTCACCGACTGAAAAAGGGTCCTAACCTGCCATCAGGTGGGGGTTCCATTCTTATGGTCCATTCTCAGGGTCTATCTTGGGATGGTATAAGAATTGAAGATTGCGGGGACCGCACATGGACTGATCATGACTGATCAGGACTTTGGGGCTCGTATCCAATCAAATATCAGGGGTACAGTTTCTTGTTCCAGCACCAAATGGCTTCACTGAGGAACTGGGGAGCAGGTCTAGCCGCCAATTGCATCTTTTATCTTTGCAATCCTAGACTCCTAGACCATCTCTCCCAAGATTTCTCCACCATTTCAGCTTAGTGACACATGGAACCCCAAAAGTATGTCCTCTTTGGACCAGCTGTCTCTAGCTGCTTACGTTATGGGTTGATCGTCCGGCGATTGAAATCAAATCCTACAAGTGGGTGGCTCGGCTTGGGGATCCAGACTTTCTCCGACATTTTCTCCCCTTCAACTTAAGCCCAATCGTGGTATATGGATGTATATGGTAGATATGTTATCTGTCAGTCTTGCTTTTTTTAACAAACAAACATGACTCCATCAGCCGCATCCAACGGCATCCACTGATTTTTGTGCAGATCGAGCTCCACAAGCGAAAACTTGGTCGCGTGGTGCTGGAACTCTTCGGCGACGTCGTGCCCAAGACCGTCGAGAACTTTCGCTGTCTATGCACAGGCGACGGCGGGTTTTTGGATGCCGGGATAACCACAAAAAATAGTGGGGTTCCGAATGGGGATATCATGAGTTACTCACCAATTAGAATAGGAATGTAAGTATAATGTCATGATCAATGGTCTATAGTGATTGTTAGGAAACTAAATTACCATGATATCAAGTTGGTTAATAGGGATATGTCAAGAAACAAACTGATATGATATTTGGCAACTTGATAGGTGGAAACTGGTGAAGTGCTTGGACAAAAGTGGGACTATGAAAGATAGGCTTAAGAGAATGGCGATATACCGCGGTTAGTGACTATAGATTGTTGACCATGCAAGTTGCTTACTCCCAGTTCGGCTCCCAGGAGAGCGAGGGATCAGCGCTGTCTCGGGCAAGCCTCTTTGCTTCAAAGGAAGCAGGCGACGTCTCCAAGTGATGAGTCTAGCTAGAAAATTGGCGCGTTATCCATTGAGAATCCCAGGAAGAATGAAGAGGGACACGAAAAAAGGACACTGAAATCCAGAGAGAGAGAGAGAGAGTCAGAGTCAGAGTCAGAGTCAGAGTCAGAGTCAGAGTCAGATGGTTTTGAGTTCTGGCTGATTATACATTAAGTTGTCCAACTGAATGTCGCCGTGGATTTTGGGATTGAAATCCAGCCCCCTGATCTGCATCCCGCGGCAAGCATCGGCAAGCAACGGTCCCTAAGATGGTGTGGAATCTCACCCTCCAATTTGAAGCCACTTCCCCCGAAATCCCAGCGCAGGCGGCTAGGGTACAATATATCATGTTCATTTCTTTTCATCAGTGCTGGTGATTTTTAGAAGGTTTTTTCCAAGTAACTTCCAACTTATATCAACTTATAAGAGATTTTCAACTTATACCAACTTATATCAACTTGAATACTAAGCTATAGTCACTTACAACTTTTCCATCTACATTCTTTTTGCTTCATTTTCCAACGAGATTGAAACCGGAGTTCAGGCGAGTTCAGCACCTTAAACCTGGCCAGGTTTCACAAGATCATCCCAGGCAAAACCATCCAAGGTGAGCCGCGGATTGTGGATTCTACAGCACATGATGGCTTTCATCAGCAAAGATGCGGATTTTTCACAGGATTAACATCATGAGGATATAGTATGATATAGTGGGGATGTAACCAATGATGATTTGGCTGGTGGTTTCGAATCTTTTCGAAGATGCGGATTGTTTTCAAAGATAGAAATAGGGATGACGATCCCCAATGACGAGGATATATGTTCCAGATGGGTTTATAGCACCAATCAGTCTTTGTTGCATATGATTTAGAGTTTAGACTCAACAACGATTTAGAAGGCATAGACATGGAGTTCTGCAAGTGGCAATGGAGATATTGACCAGGAAAACCACCATGGATGAGGAAAAAGGGGTTTCTCGAAACGTTGTCAGATTCCAAAAATTGGGTTGTTCTCCACTCGAATAGCCAAGTTTGGTAGACTACTGTTATTGGGGCCCCAGATTGCAAGAAACATATTGCATTTTTCCATTTAGCTGTACCGGTTTCATGCCCAGATCATCCATTTTTTGGGTGTATTTACCTAGAGACATTTGCCCTACACATCACCCAGGCATGTGGGAAAATGTCTACGAGATATAGATGCTATGGGACAGAATTCTGCAGTTGCACCGCATTTGCAGGTGGTGACATTACCAAAGGCGATGGTTCTGGGGGCGACTCCATTTACAATCAGGACAGATGCCCCGAATTGTGCGAAGGGAAAGGTACTCGTATGGAAGGGTTGTAAGCAAATACCCCATCTTTCATGGTAACACAAGGGTTTCCTGGTGTCTCCTGTACATCTTCCCTGAAACAAACCCTGCAGAGCTACCAACAGCCATATCCCATGGGTCCCATAGGTCTCATAGGTTCCACAGGTTCCACAGGTTCCATAGGCACTCGGGCACATGGGTCGACTTCAGGACGGAGATGGGACGTTCGCTTCCGAGAACTTCAAGCTGAAGCATGACCGCCCCGGACTGGTTTAGGCCCCAGGAAAGAGTCCGCAGCTGGTTTGGGGCCTGAAAATGGGGGATTTACCTATACCGATACCCAAACCCTAAGGCCTCCAGAAAACATAGAAAAAAACAGGCATTTCAGAGGAAAAATGAAAAGATGGTTAATTGATGGGATTGGATTCAGGGCTTGCCCCATTTTCAGAGAACCTACTCAGATTTCGTTTCGTTTCGGAGCGGACCATCGCTGTGGGAGCCCATTTAGGCTACCACTGGATAGCAGGCACATGTGAAAATGGTGAGGAAGGTATGACACTACGACAACAGACCACTGTTGAACACATATGCCAATACGCGCTTAAACGGACCCCTGGTTTAGCATTATCTATTCGCGTTAGGGTCCCTTCTTGGTATGTTTCGGTGTTGGGATATGTCTCACATCAACTATCAGCAACTATCAACTTACCAGGAGCTTTTTTAGTCGGCACTGAGGTGTCCATGGCACACAAGCGAGGCGAAGAAGGGAAAAACTGTTCCCAGTTCTTCTTCACCTCCAAGGCGCTGCTTCGACACGCAGTGAGCAGTGATCCAATTGCTGCATGGTGACCGTTGATCCATGTTGATCCCTTGAAAAGCACCTTGCCGCCCTGGTATCCCTGAAAATTTGCACGGCTCATCATACAGGTGTTGGCTCCTGAATATAGGGGTTCAATCTTCAATTCACATTTAAAATAGCATTTTTGGTGGTAAATCCGGATATCCAGTCATCATGTTCCTTTTCTGCTGCTATCCGCATCTTCTGGTCATCTCCCCAACACTGCGAAAAAAAGTGGCTGCCAGATAGCTACCTTGGAGACTATAACTTGGTTAACTGTTGGGTTTTAATGGGATATATAATTAAGTTAATACCAGTAGTAC